TTCCAGAGATCAGGCCTTTAGGCGTTGAGGCTTAGGTCCCATCATACTCAGGGGTCTCTGAAGGTGGGATGAAGGTAGGTGGGGTCAGCCAAAATAAGAGTCCTCATATAAGGGATCCTTAATCCTACCTACCTTCATCCCACCTTTTGAGGCCTCCGAGATACTCAGCCAAATTGAGCTTTGTTTTTCTCCAGGTTGAACAATTGGGGTCGAGTTTCCGTTTGTTCCTGGTCCATCATAGAGACGAGGAAGCTTTGGAAAAGACGTAAGCCCAAGTGTTTGAACGTCCGACACAATTTTCTTGGTGAAAAGTTGAGGGCTTACGGGCGATTGGTGAGTGCCTGGAGTGCCTCTTCACAACATTTTTTCGACTGCAGTCATGTCTTGGTAGAGACAGAGATTGCAGATTTGTGTGGATTCATAAACAGTGACAGGGGGAGTTGATTCTAGACATGCAGGACTGGACGGTTAATGCTGCTTGGGGTTATTTGGGGTTGGATATAAGTAGCGATTCAAGCGCGGACCTTGTGCCCCATGTGTACTGTCGACGTCTTGAAACAATGGTCAGCCTTTTTGAGATTGCAGATGGTGGAATTCACTCTGCAAGTGATCGAACCTAAACCCCTTAACTACACAGTAATATCTGCCCTACCCTATGCTTCCAAAGACCGTCTAGTTGGGGCCCCAGACCCCTCAAGGGCCTGGTAATACTTGGAGGGTCGGGGGGAGTAGGTAACAAGTAGAGTTATACGTACCCGAAAAGGGATCCTACTTGCTGTTATGGTACTTATAAGTCTCCAAAATAGCTAGCAACTAAGTCCCCCGACCCTCCAAGTAAGGTCCCTAAAAGGGATCCAAATTGGTGTTATGGTACATAAAAGTTTCCAAAATAACTAGATATATTAAGTCCCCCGACCCTCCAAGTAAGGTCCCTGGAAGCCGAAGGCTAATTTCCAAGTACAACACGTGCAGAGGACGGCGACGTTGTTGACATCCCGGTTAGCAAGGGAGATGCCGTCGTCTTCGTGCAGGAGGCACCCCAAGGTTCCAAAAGTTCCTAATGTAGGGGCCTTACTAATTGCATAAGTTCCTAATGTAGGCTTTTTAGGACTTATATAAGGAAATCATATTAAATGTAGGTTTCTTAAGGTCCAGGTAAACCCTAAACCCTAGGGGCCTTACTAATTGCATAAGTGCTCAGGGTTCCTCGCTATGGTTATAGTATACTATACCCCAAACCCAATTCAAATTAATTGAGACCCCTGCATTAATGCTTCGGGCTCTGTCTGAGGGTTTTCTAAGGGTTCTTATGCGGTCCAAAGTCAGCAACGACTGGCTACTTGGGTTTAGGATGGTATTAACTGTATCTTCTACAAACCTATTTGAAAGAGTAGGTTGTTGGTTGAGTGCACTATGCCCTGTATGGCAAGGTTTGTGTCTCGTGAGCAGGACGAGGAGCTGCTTCATGGCGGAGGACGGGTGTGCTGGTGTGCTATTATCTGTGTCCTTTCGGGTTTAGGGTTTAGGGTTTAGGGTTTAGGGATACCCTTGGTCCAGTTGTGCTAACGTTGCTTCAAATCCTGCTTATGCGGTACCCATGACGCTCCAATTACACTAGCGGATGGTGCTGCCGTGGAGCGATCGCGATCATCCAGAGGGGACGGCATAGTGGGAGCTTGATGATTGGCCCCCACCCTGTAATAGTGGTATAATAGGAAGTTTCCCACATTCGCAGGAAAGAAGGGCGCTGGGGAAGCAAAGAGAGCGATTAGGGGCAACCTCGACGCAGCCGTGTGAGAGGCTACCCGAGACCCTGAAGCTCTGAAACCCAAGCCGCCAAACACACAAGACCTCAGCCCACCGTAGCAGGTTCTGCAAGGATAGCCCTGCTTTTGTGATCACATAATTACCACAGGCCGTCACCCTCAATACCTACGGTTAATGATCTAGATCCTGCATTGCCTTAGGGACCCGAAGCTATGGGAAATACAATCTGGGAGTTTCCGAAAATTGGGGACCCTGATATGCTACCCTAAAGTGTAGGATCCTTATTTTTAGGACCCCAAAATAAGGTATCCCTAGTTGTCGGAAACCCCCATATCTTATAGGATCCTTAAGGGAGGGGGGTCCAAGGGGGGTATATAGCCTAGTGATCCCAAATTCTCCCAAGTACTCCCTAAGGTTCCCTTACAGTCCCCTAAGGATTCCTTATACCCTCCCCCCTTGAACCACCCTCTCTTAAGGATCCTATAAATATAGCCCCTATTATGGGTGCTCGGACTTGGGACTTCCTGGAGTTCCCAGAGACTCTCAAACTTCCTGTAACTAAGGAAGCCACCTTAGGGTTCCTTAAAGAGGGTTTGGGGTTTAGGGGTTTAGGGCTCCTTAAAGGGATCTAGAAGGGTTCTGTAAGGGAATTGAGGAATATACCTTAAATCGTAATAGGATCGCTAATACGATAGGTATATTCCTTAATTAAGGGGTTTTGGAGGCTTTGGGTTGTTAGGATTTCATGCCAGGTAAGGGCACCAGTCCCCCGCCCTCTCTCCAAACACTTCTCAGAACTCCGTGGACCTGAAATGAAGTGAGGTTTATGTTACGGTTTAGGGTTAGAGTTCGAGTTTCGGTGAGTGCAAACAGATTACCAAGAATGCCGGTGTTATAAAAGCCCCTGTTCATGTTTAACCCCCTCGAAGAAGGTACTAAATCTTCGGTGTTTCGGTTGAAAGTTTTCGCTATATGCAGTTGTGTTGTTTTTTTCTAGCTGTGGGTTCTAGCGCTTCAATAAACCTACTGCCGAGCGTGAAGAAGCGCCTTATCCTGATGTCCTTAGGGTTCAAAGTCAAAGCTTGCACCCAGCAGTAGCTGTGATTTTACAGAAGTCACAACTACCAGAACCCACTTGTTGCAGAGTTTCCAAGAAAGCCTGACAGAAGGACCTAATATAGGGGCCTAAATAATTAGCTGGACTATTTTCGTGATTCCTCTTATTTATAGTTTTGGGCCCCAAAACCCATGCATCTTACTAAGGCCCCTATATTTGGGCAAGTGGACCGTGGGAGATCAGGGTTCGGCATAGTCGAGCCGGGCCTTTCGGCTGTTTGAAAGCATTTCAATTGCCAGAAAAAGCTGTGTGTCGATCCACATCAGCTGCACTGACAGTGCTGTAGGGTTCGGGGTTTAGGGTACGCTCGGCCAAGTTATTTATGGGGCTGCTGTACTACAGGCATACGAGGGTGCATGTAGAGCCCTACTGTACAGGTAGCTGGGCTTCTGGCTTGGTGAGACGTCTTTTTTTAGGGTTTAAGGGTTAAGGGTGTAGGGTTTAAGGTTCTAGTTTGCAATGTGTGAAAATTTGGGCTTCCACTGCTGGCTAGAATATGGTAACTTGGGTGTACGTTCCTGCTGGTCATGTGTTCGTTTGTTACACACGGAGAACCGCAATACCTACCACACCCCACGGGATATTCATGCTCTCGACGGACGAAATCTTTCATCGCTTCAAATCCCCTGAAAAAATTGGAAACATGGGGTGTTGCGGATTCCTTGTCATGGATAAAGCATGATAATGTGGGACTGTGTCCGTTAGCAGCAGCAGTCCGAACACACCCACCGACTCTACACCTTACATAGTCGTCGGTCTCGATGCTTCGATGCTGTTGCTTTTGCATGTCGTGGCCACAGGGGATGCGTAGCTGTTCCGGGTTCCCTGGAAACTAACGTGAGGATATTTGCACCATCATCGCGGTGTTGCCCAGCTCATTTTTTTGCGTCACAATTAGTTCTGATCGTAGGGAGCCTTGGGGGGGTGTGGGCGGCCTTAATGCCCATAATAAGGACCTATTGAGGCCTATTTAAGGAAGTATAGTCCCCTCCCCACCCACTACCCCCCTAAGGGTCCCTATGATCTAATGCCCGAAAGCTTATAGTCCTAAGTCGTGATGGTCGGGGCTTTTCTTGCCCAGGTCAGGTCGAGAGGCCCACCTCCTTGCACCGAAACCGTGGTAGCAGAACGGAAAATAGGAGCCTAAATATTTACCTGTACTGTTTTTGGGGCGGGGGTCCTTATTTTGACTATAGTATAGTATACCACAAAACCCTATAGTAATTTAGTAAGGCCCCCATGTTATGGAATTTCTTTGTTCTATGTTGAGGCCGTCGGTCGTCGGCTCGGACTTCACGGCTCACGCTGCTCGTATCTGTATACTCCACAGCATTGCATCCTGAAGCCGTCAGAGTCTGACTCAACAGCGCTCATGGTAGGCACCGGGCTATGTAATTTCAAGCGGAACCCTAAACCCCAAACCGGAATCCCTTCTGGAGTCTTCCTTGTAAGAGCAACAATCCTCAATAACCCCAACTTTGAGAACTACCCATACCGTAGACAATCTCCAAACCCTGCCTTGTTCCAAGATAGACAGACCCAGTTCCATGCATACAGCGTCATATACCCAGCCTTGTTTGAGGATGCACTGCACGGCACTATGCCTCGCATCGCATTTTGTAGCACGTGATAGCCGAAGGGTGGGGCACCAGCCCCCAGATACACAGGAGACCCGGCAGTTCGCAAGTTCCAAAAGCAAGCTGGATGTAAACCCTGACAAAATCGTCTCCTCTGCAGTTCTTTTTTTGGCTACCTAGTAGGGTCCTAAATTACCGTTCTAAGGATCCGTTTCATGAAGTGCTGCTGGACCCGACTACCGGGCTACGTAGGCCTTTTGGGCTGTTTTAGCTGCAGGGTACACGGCCAGCCCAATGTAATCAGGCAGTATACATGGGTAGTTGTCATAATTATGTTCCCTAATTGGGTACCCTAATTATTAGGTGCCGTATTATATCAAGGACCCCAAAAGAAGAAGCCTTCAACAATTCAGGCGTCTTCCGGCGTGAGGAGGATCTCGGGCTTTCCACGTTAGCGAAGCCTAACAACAACCGATACTTATCACTCCCTTTACATAAAGGAGCCCGGAAAGCGATCCTTACAGCCTCGATCCTAAAAAATGAAAGCGGCTGCCGCCGGCGCACGCTCCTGTGCTGTCGCCAAGTACAGCTCCCGGAGCCTTGCAAGAATGGTTAACATTGCGGCTGCCCTAAGCCCTAAACCGCCTAGCAGCATAATAGGCAACCTTCACCCTCCTTGGGCTTTACGAAATATGCCTCCAAAACAATAAAACAGCTGACTGTTTGGACGCGAGAATGGTTAGGTTAGGACTAAAGCTTGCTCAGTCTGTGTAGTGCTGCTATTCTTCCCGTGGAGGGGGTAGAGGTTTGGTTGGCATGAAATATCATGTCTGTAGCATAGCATCGACCTAGCCTACATCATGTTGTAGATTTGCAGGGTAGCGCACATCCTTCAAGGGTTCTGTGGCAATTCTCGGCGGGATTCGAAATTCCCCAAGGGTCCAAGTACCCCACTATCATATACCCTCAAGAATAATAACTTGCATAACCACTATCCCAAACCCGAGTACCTAATTATCGGGTCCTTCGGAGCCTTAGGGATTCGAAGTGCGGATTGCTGGGTTGACGGTTTGGGGCTCCGGCCAGGTGCACCATTTTTTTTCTGCGGGGGTCGGCACAGTCAGTAACCATATAGGGTTGAGGGTTTTAGGGTGAACCCTAAACCACTAGCACTAAACCCTCAAGCCCAAAATAAATAGAAATTGTCAGGTCTTAATCCCTTCCCCCTAACAGTCAACCCCCCCCTAATATAAAAAACTACCGGCCGCCGGCCCCCGGAATTTTGCGGTTTCGGGCCCCACATTCAATTTAAAAGGGACAGCATTAGGGGGGGTGCTAGATCTGTATGTGTTTTAATTGAACGAAGACTACAGTAGTACTACAGACAGCAGAGCTCTAGGGTTTAAGGGTTTGGGGCTCAGGGCTAAAGCTTTAGGGCTTGGGGCTTCAGGGCTTCAAGTTTAGGGCTCAGGGCTTTAGGGTCTGGGGCTCGAGGTTTAGGGCTTCGTGCTTTAGTAGGGCCTCAGGGCTCCAGGCTTAGGATAGCTAGCAGCTGGGAGTCCGCGTACGTGGATGCACCGAAACCCCCCCTAATATTAAAACTAAACCTCCGAAATCCGGTTTTTATATTAGGGAGGAGGGGGGGGCCTTCAATATTATGGGGAAGGGATTGATCAACCGAGCGAGAGCAAAAAGCACAACCCGTCCGAAACCGCCCGCACAAAGCCGGCCCGAAACCACACAATCAACCGACCAGAAGCAAAAAGCAAAACCCGCCCAAAACGGCACGAAGCCAGCACAAAACTCAGGACTTGAACCCTTGCGGTTTAGGGTTTTAGCATTTAGGGTTTAGGATATCTCATTGTAGCTCTTTTGTTCCTACATTCAACGGACTTCAAAACCCTGGTTATTTAGAGTGTAGCCAGGCTCCTACATTTGCCACTTGCTTGTGGTTTTGTCTTCCGACGCCGAGCCGGCACACACCATCCGTCTGCATACTCAACGGTGCCAGAGTCTAGGTGTGCTTAAAGGGTCATGGGACTTAGTACGTAGGTAAAAAGTAGACTTATAAGTACCCTAAAACCCTAAAAGGGACCCTAACTGGGGTTATGGTACTTATAAGTCCCTAAAAGAAACAGTTACTAAGTCCCCCGACGCTCCAAGTGCCAAACGCCGCATCGCTGGAAGCCCCGTCACTTTTGCAGTAGGTCCTCTTGTCTTTATATATATATATATATATATTTACTTGAATGCCATCCCAAACTCATAAAGAGGATGGTCTTTTGGGGACCGATTCCATAATTGTAGTACAGTATATATGAACCCTCTGGGTTTGATTCAAATGGACCTCAACCCTAAACCCTTAATCCCGTAAACCCCTAAACCCTGAACCCGTAAACCCTGAACCCTATAAACCCTAAACCCTAAACCCTAGTCCAACAAGAGACAGATGCGTGACGAGATCACTCAGGACCGAAGATTCGCTCACAGACAGCGATGACGGCCAAGACGGTACAGGTTGCACAAGGTGAGTTCACTCAAGTTGCTGTTCTTGGAAGCTTGCCCGGGATGAATGTATTTGAGGATGTATTGGTACTACAGCGAGGGTACGATCGAGTGGTTGACCCCCGGCTGGAAGCCTGACGTCCTCGAAGATGATGAGAGATTGGCTCTTGGAGAATACAAGATGCGAAGAGTCGTAAAGGAGTTCGTTGAACAAGCCTCCTTGGTGAAGACTGCGGGTCAACGTCAACGGATGAGGATCTACAGCGCTTGTGCGCAGGTAGAGCTTGCTAAGTACGACTTCTGTGGTTCAGACCATGACGTCCGCCTTCACTTCAGAGTGAACATACTCTACGGGCTAGTGTCAGGTGCTTCCGACGATGACGTGGTAGACTTGACCGGTCGTGCGTGTGAACCTGGCCCTTGGGAAGATCTCCCCGGTGTCAGACGTGAAGTTGACACGATCCTGCATCACTGTGAGCAAGAGGAGGTGGATCTCCTTCATGTGTACGGTTTAAGGACAATATAGAAGCTTCCCTAGAGGCCCCACAAGCAGTACCATTATGGAATTAGGTCTCTAAATCCCTAATATGGAAGGCCTTTTGGGGCCTAATTCCATAATGGTATATACATGGAGCCTCTGGGTTTGTATAGGCTTCCAGTTAACACCTCAGGATCATCACGGAGAACCTGTTATCAAATTCCACATAGAGCCCTTGTGAGATGAGGGTCGGTCAAGAACCTCTATGAACAACCAATGCACCGTAAACGCCAAACCCTAAACCCAGAACCCAGACTGCTCCACAAGAAGAGCTTTCAACCCTAAACCGTAGATCCCCAAACCCCTAAACCCCGAAATCCCTAAGGCCTAAACCCTAAACCCCCCTAAGCCCTAAACCCCCCTTAGCCCTAAACCCCCAAACACCGAAACCCCAAAGCCCTGAATGCTAAACCCTAAGAAGCCCCGAGACCCCGAAGCCCTAAACCCGACGACAAGGACGATGCTTCGCCGACTGCAAGCCACTCCGAAGGACCCGGCTTCAGCATTTCTGAAGGAGTTCACAAGAGTCCCTAAGACTCCATGTGCCCACATAGTAGCTCCTTCGGCCTTCAAGGGGCTTTTCTGTGGGTGCCTTAAGGCCTGAGTACCTACTATATGGGTACATGGAGCCTCTGGGAGTTATGGTAAGGGGTTGTAGCAGTTTCAGTGCTCATGTATGGGTTGGTCTGAAAGTACTAGATGGAGGCGGGGGGCTGGGTTGTTGGCACAGAATTCTCTGGGAGATCGCCTTTGAGAAGTGAACTTATACCTTGTGGCTGCTATCTTGCTTGAACAAATGCTAAGTTCTAGAGGGCCTGGGGCTTGAGGTGTTTTGGGCCATAGGTGCGTAGGGCTTGGGGCTTGAATGCAAGGTCCTAAACCATAAAGTCTATTATACCTATAGTCTCCATTGTAGTTCCTTGTTTTGGTTAACCAAACTCTAGATTATAGGATCTTTGCCATAAAACTGGTTAGCCACAAAGACGAACTAGAATGGAAACTATGCCGACTATGCGGTAGTTCCCTGAAACGTAAACTGCACCACCCAGCAGTGCTAGGTTATAGAATTTCAAGTCGTCGGCTGCAGAGACTTGCGAGCCCTTCCGTCGGGCAAGCTCAGCCTGCGACATTATCCCCGAAGTTCCAAGGACCAACTGCATAATCTCGAAGCCTAACCCGAAGGCTCCAAGTATCCACAAAGTAAGGTTTCCGGGCAAAAACCCAAAACAACCTAGGACTTAGAGTAGGCCCTTATTCCCTTTTTTAGGGTTCAGGTTCCCTTGTAAGCCCCTTTAAACCAACAAGGGCACCCTTTTTATTCCCAGGTTACTCTTGGGTCTAGCAACAGCTTAGAGCATAGTACTTGGGACCTGAAGCTCCACTACTCGCGTACTTGGGGTCCAAGTACTTCTGGATTTCAGGGCCCTGAAGGGGTACCAAAAAGACTGCATGGGAGTTTCCGAAAATGGGGGTACTTTATTTGGGGGGTCCTTTCACGGTCCCCCATTTTTGGAAACTCCCACATGAGGAAACTCGAAATGCTGCTCACTGAAGGTTTTGAGTGGTTCGGTTTCCGGGTTCAGCCAACCCCAAGTACTAAGGGTCCGAATGCCCAAATAGCAGGGTTTTGGGCCCCAAGTGCTACCTTAACTTCTGGAGGGATCCTGTTTAGGGCCTTTCGGGATTCAGGGTTTAGGGTTTAGGGCATGTATCACGGTACATTTCTGAGCTAAATGTCGGGTTTTCGAGTCTCCGGGTTTAGGGTTTAGTCGGTTTAGTGTTTATAGAAATTGTTAAGGGTTTGGGTCCCAAAAACTTTTTGACCGAAACGTTTTGAACGAAACGTTTTGAACGAAACGTTTTGAACGAAACGTTTTGAACGAAACGTTTTGAACGAAACGTTTTTTTTTTTGCGAACCATGTTTTGAAATTTGCTGGAGGGGGGGGGCTGGAGCTCTGGGGCTGGGGCTCTGGGGCTGGGCTGGGCCTGGATTTGGGGTTTGCAGCCTGTTTGGGGCGTGGATTTGGGGCTGGGCCTGGATTTGGGGTCTGGGCTGGATTTGGGGCGGCCTGGATTTGGGTTTGGGCCTGGGTTTGGGGTTTGGGGCGTGGATTTGGGGCTGGGCCTGGATTTGGGGTCTGGGCTGGATTTGGGGCGGCCTGGATTTGGGTTTGGGCCTGGGTTTGGGGTTTGGGGCGTGGATTTGGGGCTGGGCCTGGATTTGGGGTCTGGGCTGGATTTGGGGCGGCCTGGATTTGGGTTTGGGCCTGGGTTTGGGGTTTGGGGCGTGGATTTGGGGCTGGGCCTGGATTTGGGGTCTGGGCTGGATTTGGGGCGGCCTGGATTTGGGTTTGGGCCTGGGTTTGGGGTTTGGGGCGTGGATTTGGGGCTGGGCCTGGATTTGGGGTCTGGGCTGGATTTGGGGCGGCCTGGATTTGGGTTTGGGCCTGGGTTTGGGGTTTGGGGCGTGGATTTGGGGCTGGGCCTGGATTTGGGGTCTGGGCTGGATTTGGGGCGGCCTGGATTTGGGTTTGGGCCTGGGTTTGGGGTTTGGGGCGTGGATTTGGGGCTGGGCCTGGATTTGGGGTCTGGGCTGGATTTGGGGCGGCCTGGATTTGGGTTTGGGCCTGGGTTTGGGGTTTGGGGCGTGGATTTGGGGCTGGGCCTGGATTTGGGGTCTGGGCTGGATTTGGGGCGGCCTGGATTTGGGTTTGGGCCTGGGTTTGGGGTTTGGGGCGTGGATTTGGGGCTGGGCCTGGATTTGGGGTCTGGCTGGATTGGGGCGGCCTGATTTGGGTTTGGGCCTGGGTTTGGGGTTTGGGCCTGGATTTGGGGCTGGGCCTGGATTTGGGGCTGGGCTGGGATTTGGGTTTGGGCCTGGGTTTTTGGGGTCTGGGGCCTGGATTTGGGGCTGGGCCTGGATTTGGGGTCTGGGCTGGATTTGGGGCGGCCTGGATTTGGGTTTGGGCCTGGGTTTGGGGTTTGGGCCTGGATTTGGGGCTGGGCCTGGATTTGGGGCTGGGCCTGGATTTGGGTTTGGGCCTGGATTTGGGGTTTGGGCCGGGCCTGATTGGGGTCTGGGGCCTGGATTTGGGGCTGGGCCTGGATTTGGGGTCTGGGCTGGATTTGGGGCGGCCTGGATTTGGGTTTGGGCCTGGGTTTGGGGTTTGGGCCTGGATTTGGGGCTGGGCCTGGATTTGGGGCTGGGCCTGGATTTGGGTTTGGGCCTGGATTTGGGGTTTGGGCCGGGCCTGATTGGGGTCTGGGGCCTGGATTTGGGGCTGGGCCTGGATTTGGGGTCTGGGCTGGATTTGGGGCGGCCTGGATTTGGGTTTGGGCCTGGGTTTGGGGTTTGGGCCTGGATTTGGGGCTGGGCCTGGATTTGGGGCTGGGCCTGGATTTGGGTTTGGGCCTGGATTTGGGGTTTGGGCCGGGCCTGATTGGGGTCTGGGGCCTGGATTTGGGGCTGGGCCTGGATGGTCTGGATTTGGATTTGGGGCCTGGATTGGTGGGATTTGGGGCTGGGCCTGGATTTGGGTTTGGGCCTGGACTGGGGTTTGGGTTTGGGGCTGGGCCTGGGTTTGAGGTCCGGGGCCTGGATTGGGGTTTGGGCCTGGGTTTGGGGCTGGGCCTGATTTGAGGTCCGGGGCCTGGATTGGGGTTGGGGCCTGGGTTTGGGGCTGGGCCTGGATTTGGGGTCTGGGCCTTTTGGTGGGGGGGTCTGGGGGGGGGGGCCTGAGCCTGGATTGGGGGTTTGGGACCTGGATTTGGGACTGGATTTGTGGCTTTTGGTGCTTGGATTTGGGGCCTGGGCTTTGGGGCCTGGATTTGAAGGTGGGCCAGGATTTGGGGCTTGGGGCCTGGATTTGGGGCTGGGCCTGGTTTGGGTCGGGAGCCTGGGTTTGGGATTTGGGACCTGCTTGGATTTGGGGTCTGGGAAGGTGGGCCTGGGTTGGAGGTTGTGGAGAAATTGGTTTATCAAGAAGCTTGTTCAATTTTAAGCGGTGTGTTGGGCTGTAATGGTGGTTAAAAGTTTGTGGAGAAATCGGTTTATCAAGAAGCTTATTCAACTTTTGTTGCCGGCTTGGCTGGGCTGGGCTGGACCGGGCTTGCTGGGCTGGCTGGGCTGAGTTACAGGTTGAGGTCGTGGTTGTGCGAAATTAGTTTATCAAGAAGCTTGTTCCGTTTTTGACCGGGTGGCTGTTTTGAGCTGGCTGGGCTGGGTTAATGGTTGAGGTTGTGGTGGCTGTTTTGAATTGGCTGGCTGAGTTAATGGTTGAGGTCGTGTTTGTGCGAAATTGGATTATCAAGATGCTAACGCCAGTTTTAACCGAAATGCTGGGCCCTAGCGGTGGTTACAAACAAGGACAAGCAATTTCTATTTATAACTTTCTTGAGAGTTTAGGGTTTAGGGTTGAGGGTAGGGTCTAGGGTTTATAGTTTAGGGTTCAGGGTAGGGTTTAGGGTTGCGTGTTCTAGAACACCCCAAAAGGAGTTTCGGGCTTTCGCCGGGGATCGCTGTGGAAGGTGTGGCAGCAGCGCTGCTTCCGCGTCCTTGCCATGGGCAACACCATCATCGATCATGTCCGCATCTCATGTTGTAGGGTTTTGTGTATGGTTTTTGGTGTTGTTGATCAAAGAATCGTAAGTGTATGTTGATCCATGTATAATCCTTTCTCGTTAGTTTCTAAAACCCTGTAGAAGCTTGGAAGATGGTGCTGCTGCAACCAAATCAAGGTTTCTATCTACTCTCAAAGCTTGATCCGAAAGACGTCAATGCACTGTGCAAACTCTGTAAACTGCTCACAAGCTTTAAAAGCCCATGTACTGTAAAGTCTTACCATGAAAGCTGTATTAAGCGTGTAAGACCCGTATAACATACTGCCTGATAGAAGCTCTTTAACCCCTTTGTAGACCCCTATACCACCTCCTAGAATCCAAAACCTGTAATCTAAATCCTGGACATCAAGATCTCTCAAACCGAGGATGCCCGTCTTAAGGTCCATTCTGAGGCTTGAGGGGTTTTGGGTTCGGGGATCCATATGGGCCTCAGAGAGCCCATTCTCGATCCCTCGTTTACTCTCCAAGGTAGTTACTGTCTTCATAGCTACCTTTATGGTTAGGGTCCTATACCCTCATGGTTCATGTACCCAAACAGTATAGGGGCCTTAACATACGCCCTATATAGGTACATTGGGGGCCAAAGTATATGATATTTGAATACATGGACCCTTAGGGATATGTAGTGCCGAAACAACAAGGTAAGTAATTCAATAGCAAAGCTACAGCTACAAGGTCCTGAATAGGAAGTAATCTCATGTCCCCGTATAGCCCCTCTCTCTATGTGTATATATATATATGTATAAAATATATAAACCTACATATATATATATATGTATACATATGTGTGTATACTTATTGTATGGTTACATTGGTTTCATTCACCGTATATCACCGAACCCTAGTTCAATTATTAGGGTTCCGGTATTCAACCCTCTGTAAAACCACGGCGGACCTTTTAATGCGATGGTTCGCAACATCTCTGGAGAGACATATGATGGCTTAAGAAGGGTTTCATGGTTTCGGATTCATGGGGGGCAGGTCCTGCATAGTAGTGTGTTTGCAGGTTGTGTGTTTACAGCTTCGCTTCCGGTGATATACAATAAGGTAAGGTTTTGTTTACCAAGGTTTTGTGTGTTCTGGAAGAGGTTTTGTGCCTACGAGCAGGCGGGGAGTTTTGGGTTGGGAGGGTTGAGGGTGGTGTCTGGGATTCTGGGATGGTTGAGCTTTCCAAGACCCCCTTTGGAGGATCCAAAAAGTTCATCCCTTAATGGGGGTTCCTATTTTGTACCCTTGGTGGTATGGGGCCCTAGATTAGGGGATGTACTTTCTAGATCCTCCCGGGGGTCTGTTTGGGTTTGCAGTTCCAAATGACGGGTAGCAACAGTGCAGAGTCTGTTCTACTGTTTGAGGTCATCTCTGTCGAGAAGCTTCCTGATGACGGCAAAGCTTCTCGCACGAATTAAGAATTTGTGATCCTTGTGCTTGCACATATTCAAACAGGGTGCTAAGCACCTGTATAGTAGCATGTAGGATTTCTATAGTAGGAATTACTATTCTGATTCGGGAATAGATCACCCACAACAGTACCTACGGTTGATGATATAAATCCTGCATGACCCATCAGGAATCTACCATAATTCCCATAGTTTAGGGTCATTAAGGTAATGCAGGATTCATATCATCAACCCTTAACCCTAAACCCCCTATAGATCCCTTAAAGGGACCCTTATGGATCCCTTTAAAGGAACCCTAATATTTATATCATCAACCGTAGGACCTTGTGGGATAACAGGCCAGCATCCGCGCCCCGATAGGAACGCCCAAGGCCTCCGAAGCCTCCACTTGGAGGGTCGGGGGACTTAGTAGGTAGGTAGTAACGGTTGATGATATAAATCCTGCATGGCCTTAAGGACCCTAAACTATGGGAATTATGGTATATTCCCTATTGTGGGTAATGCAGGATTTATATCATCAACCGAAGTAGACTTTTAAGTACCCTAAAAGGGACCCTACTGTGGGTTATGGTACTTATATGTCTATAGAATAACTACTTACTAAGTGCCCCGACCCTCCAAGCTTTCGATGAGCCTCGAGCCCGGACCTTCCCCCTTAATTCAGCAATCTTCCTTCATTCCTGGAAAGTCCAAAACCCCTTAATTGAGGAATATATCTTAAATCATATTAGGGCCCCTATTATACTTTAAGGTCTATTCCTCAATTAAGGGGTTTTGGAGTCTGTGGGAAAGTAGGACCCCTAATATGATGCAGGTGCTCCTGAATTAACGGATTTTGGAGGGTCTGGGCGTCCAACCCTTCAAACCCGGGCATAAAACCACCTCCCCCGACCTCCCACCCACCACCCTACCCTCCCCCATCCCATAACACCACAGAGACTCCAAAACCCTTAATTAAGGAATCTATTTTAAAATATAATATGAACCCTAATATGATTTAAGGTATATGCCTTAATTAAGGGTTTTGTTGATGTTTCTGTGCTCTGACCCCTCCATTGCAGGAACTAAGTCCAAAGGCCACACCAAAGGCTGCTACAGGCACTGAAGACCCCAAAAGAACGACAACTCCGAAGCCCCATGTGCTGCTTCATATACCTAGGGCCCCATGTACATATACACACATCTATCTATATATATATATACATATATATACATACATACATACATACATACATACATACATATATATATATATATATATATATATATATATATATATGTGCATATATTTACATATGCACTTACGTAGGTCCATGTGTGTGTATATATATATATAGATACACCAGCATATTCAGGGCATTTTTCACTCCGCACGTACATGGAGCCTTGGGGCATATCCAGGTTTCTACAAGGTTTTGTGCTGAACATCCGTCGTGCAATGTTGAGAGATCCGCTAAAACCCACAGAAGCTTTCTCAAGTTTTCTGATTCCTTCGAAAACTAACCCGAATAACACCACCCAAATTGCAACGGTACCTCAGACGTTATCAAGTTCGTGCGACACAAACTGTCATGTTTTGTGTGGAGTTTCCTTGCTCCTTGCACCAACAGTCCCTTAAGAAGGAAATAGTAGGCCCATGGTGTACCCACCCCTAAACCCTAAACCCATAGTAACTGCTAGTGTAATGCGGCCCTACCTACGTCTTGACAGCGTGAGACAACCCCAAACTCTATTTACTCCTGATCCCTAAACCCTAATCCCTCAAACCCTAAGCCTTACCTACGCCTTATAGCCCTTAATAATCTACTTGTTTCAGAGTATTGGCAATGAACTCATCATATATAATAATCCTAAAGATACATATTCCTAGAACGGCAGGCTTCTGAGGTCCAGGTAAGCCATAAACAGTCAAGCAAAGCCTGTTGTGACTGCCGCGAGGTTTGGGTCGAGTCCAAGCAAAAGTTTGTGGGCGGACAGGGCGCTAACGCCGCCCAAGGTGGCAGGGCTTCAGGCATAGGGTTTTAGGGAATAGAGTCTTTGGCTTTAGGGTTGAGGGTTAGGGTGGGTCTAAACATGTAGGGTCTCTCCTCCACAAGACTTAGGCAGTTTTAGGCCTATGCCCAACTAAAATCTCTCTCTCACCAAGAGACCGGATGACAGGGTGGCGGGTTAGTTTTTGTTCGGGATTTTGGTTGTCAGACTGACAACTTCCAAACCTCCCCTCACCCGAGACGTTGTATCTGCTACTTGAGCTTCTTGGGCCTGAGGCGCTGAAGTCCATCAAAGAGACGCAACCTACAATCGAAGCCCTCCTTTCGACGACCCTCGCATCGGAGAGGGCACGCTGGTCGCCCTGTTGGCGCGCAACGAAGCCACCCAGCAGCCGCGCCAATTTTTGAAGTGTCACGCGACACGCTGCTCACCAATATCCCTGACATCATTCTTGCGGAGTCCTTCAGCTTGTTATGTTGATATCTGCAAGACCGACCATCCAAGATTGGCTTGTATGCGACATGTGAACAGGCTTGATGTTTCTGTCCACCTTCCGGATGTGTCAGCCGTCTTCATGCATCGCGTCGTCGCATCCTAATACCTTCTGAGTGATCGATGTCGTATCTAGAGTCGAACAGTGCGTAGGTGGAGGGTCTAGGTTAGGGCTAAGTACCGAATGTTAGGAGCAGCTGTAACTAGTTTTCGGTAACCCTAATTTGATACAGACTCTAGGTCAAGGGGCACTCCTTAAACAAGCAAAACACACTAAAGCCACAAGCCCCCAATCCAGAAACCCCTAATGCCTATAAGGCACGGAAGCCCCAAGACCCTAAACCCGTAAACCCTAAAACCTCGACCTCAACAACACCCAAGTTGATTTTCGTATCAGCCCCACTCAAACTCTGAACTACTACAGCAGTAGCCGTTTAAGCCTTGCTAAGCAGTTTAACTTTTGTACGGCCCCCACTCAGTAACAGGTGGATAATATTCATAATATAGGTATATAAGGCCCCTTAATAACAGCCCTATCATGGACAGTTACTGTATGGGGGCCGTAACCAAAGTTTAACTAAGAAGTCATATACAACTTCTCTCCCTCCTAGACCCCCCAACTACCCTCTAATAATCCCAAATACCCCCTAATGAGGGCCATAAGGACTCTATTAAAGGGCCCTTGGGGGGTCCTGGCTGGGGCTTGCACTTTGAACCTTAAGCCCTGAACCCCGAGGCTGGTACCCAAAGCCCTGGATCCTAAGCCACAAGCCCGTTTGAAACCCTAAGCCTTAAACCCCGAGGTTCTGAACCCTAAGCCCTCAGCCGTCAAACCCTACACCTTAAACCGGAAATCCTAAAAAACAATGTTCCGAAACCTAAGGCCCATAGCTCGGAATCCTAAACCGTAACCCTAATCGCTAAACCATCGACGCTTAACCCCGCGAGGTTCATCCCGCGAATCGTAAGCCCTGAACCCTAAACCTCGAAGTACTAACCCTTGCGTCCTGAATCCTAAACCCTTAACTCTATGAACTCTGCACCCTACGTTCTACAAGCCTTAAACCTGAACCTCATATGTCCCAAGCCCTGGCTCTAACTCTCTGATCCACAACCCTGAACCTTAATCCCTGAACCCCATAACATCTCCAGCAAATTAACTCCAAAACCCTAAACCTTCAAATAAAGCAACTCTAAACCCGAATCCTTCGAGAGCCGCGAAACCTGCAGGCACCACCTCCGGATTGCCAAACCCCAAAAGCCCGTACACGCCTACCCAGACCTTCCAATATCCCTCAAGTAAGGAGTTTAGACTTCACATTGTAGTAGGATTCCAAATATGATCTGCATTTGGGTATATAAACCTAAACCCTAAACCCGGTATATGCCTTTTGGTAAGGGATATTTAAACCCTAAACCTTAAGTTCTGGTAGGATCCGAATATATATATATATATATATATATATATATATAACCCTGAACCCGAAACCGCAACCCTTAGCCCGAAACCCGGTACCCAGACCTTCCAAAATCCCTGAATTAAGGAATATACCTTAATTAAACTATAGTAGGATCCCTAATATGACTTTAAGGTATATTCCTTAATGAGGGTATTTTGGAAGGTCTGGGTATATTTTTCGAACAAGGGATATTTAAGGCAGTTGGAGAATATTCGTAATACAATAATAGTGAGCCCTCTAGTAGCCCCATTATATAGACTTTTACTGTATAGTAGAAGCCAGAAAGTTGGAACATCATTATCCCCATGCCCTTAGGGTAAAGCATAAGGGATCCTAGCACTAATCCTCCCGAAAACCATGTTCCAACTTTCTGGGGTTTACTGTATAGACTTTTACTGTATGGGGGCCGTACTTGGAGGATCATGGGACTTAGTAATTAGGGTTATAAGTACCCTAATTGGGGTTATAAGTAATTATAAGTGTAGTTACCCTAATTATAACCCTAGTTACTAAGTCCCGTGACCCTTTAAGTACCCAAGTTTAAGGCATGGCGAAGCTGGGCCTCGAAGTCTCCTGGCTCTCGAGGCCGTCAGCGGCGTCCGGTTTAGGGATTTTAGGGTTTTAGGGCGTTAATTCTTTAAGGCGTTTAGGGTTTTTGGGGTTCTAGGGTTTTAGGGGTTTTTAGTGTTTTTAAGGGTTTTAGTGTCTTAGGGCGTTTGGTCGTTAAGGCTTTTAGGGTTTTCAGGGTTCTAGGGTTTTAGGGTGTTTAGGGTTTTAGGGCTTTTAGGGTTTAGGGTGTTTAGGGCTTTAGGGGTTTAGGGCTTTAGGGTTCTAAGGTTTTAGGGTTTTAGGGCTTCAGGTCGTCAAAGCTTTTAGGGTTTTAGGGTTCTAGGGTTTTAGGGTGTTAGGGTTTTAGGCTTTTTTGTGTTTTTTAGGGTTTTAGGGTTTGGGGTTTTAAGTTTTAGGGCTTTAAGGCTTTAAGGGTTTGTGGGTTTAGGGATTTAGGGGGGTGTAGGGTCTAGGGTTTCTGCATGTTTTGAGTCGTTCTCGTTTTGCTTAAATGGTGTACGGGCTTTAGGGTGTAGGATGTACGGCATACGGCTTGGGGTTTGGGGTGAGGGTTGGGGATTCAGTGTTTTGGAAGTTTTCTTGTTGTTGAATTGGCGGGTTAGGGCCGTTGTAGGCATTGGGGCTAAGTCCTGAATCCTAAACCCCTGCTTACGCATTTCAACTCCAAACCCCGAAGCGCTACACCCCAAACCCGATAGCCTTTCTAAAAGTCTGTACTGTGCGACTCTTCTGGAAACTAAATACTCTCCGCCCCAGAGCCCTGTGAAAGGCTCGGTGACGACGACGACGGCGCGAATGCCCTCCGCCACTTCAAAGCTTGCAGCATCGACACCTCCTTTTGCATTGAAGTTGAGCGAGCGCACACGAGCCTTGGAGTCAGCACATTCCTGACATCTTCCCGTTCGTTAACCAGCTTTTGGGTTTTGTTGGTTCAATTCTTGCACTGTTTGAGAGGCCTGGCAATAGTGAGAGTGACATGTTTCCGGAAGCACGGGGAGGGAGCCCAGGCCAGACAACTGCCGTAGATTCGGGTGAAAGGGGTCCTAGTTGCTTTGGATGTTCTAGGTTGGTGAAGGCCGAGGCACACGTGCTGTACAAATGCCACGTCTCGGAAGTGCAAGTCACAATGATTCTCAGATTTCGGGATGCCTAGGCCTTTTTTTCATTCTGTTGATGGACAAAATCCTGCATGACCCTAAGGACTCTAAACTATGAGAACTATGGTATATTCCTTATAATGGGTAATGCAGCATTTTGTCCATCAGCAGTTTTACTCTGCAGTTTTAGAACCTGAAACTTACCTCATATTTCCAGAGGTTGTCAGTATATTGTCAAGAAGCTGTAGACACGAAGCTTGCTAGAACCTAAAATCAGGTACTTACCTGTTTGTGGTTACCTTAAGGTCTTGTTGTTAGTACCCCAGAGGGTCCATGTGCTGCACTACCATTACTGGATTAGGTCCCCAAAACCATAATAGGGATGGTCTTTTTGCAGCTTATTCCATGATGATATTCATCCTGCACTACCCATAATAAGGAATATACCATATGTGTTTTATAGTCTAGGGTCCTTAAGGTAATGCAGGATTTATATCATCAACAGTAGCGTATATGGGCCCTCTGGGTTCTAAGCATAAAATGAGTCATCCATGGCAGGAGCCTGAAGCTTTTGCTTGGGCCCTTAGAGGCAGTTGCCACAGTAGTAGTCGTCGTCGTTGCCGGTTTAGGGTTGTGGGTTTAGGGTTTAAGGTTTAGGTCGTTGCCGCCGTAGTAGTAGCAGTAGTTTTTGTCAGACCTGTAGCTCGTCTTTTGAAGTGTACGTTACTCTGAATTACAAGATACAGCATCCCGCAACCTTGAGCATCTTTGAACCCTAAACAAGAGTCTAAAACCATGAACTGTATAAACCGACCACCAAGACCCCTAAACCCTAAACTTAAACCCCTAAACCCCTTAACGCCCAAAGCCCTGAACCCCTAAACCCCTCCAAACCCTATAAACCTTGAGCCCGGCAAAAGGATGTCAGCCACGGTCACCATCGGCCGGGAGTGCATGAAGCGGTGCTGCTACATGCACAAGGACTTTGGGTTCAGGGGTTTAGGGTTTGGAACTCGAGGTTTAGGATGGTATATAAGGGTTTAGGCGATCAGTTACCCTAAGGGCTCAAACGACCCAAGAATGAGATACTTGGATCATAGTTAGGTACTTTTGTATTTGGGAGACTATGTTGTGATTTTTGGGCACTTGGACTCTCAGGGTGTATTACGGTTGAGAGGTTGCGCGGCTTAGCACTATAAGCGCTGAGCCCAGGTGGTGGCAGTTTCGGGTTTGAGGTTTGAAAGGGGGTTGGGGCTTGTGAACTTCGAGCTCACGGACTCATGAGCTTTTGCAATGGTGGGTTGTCAGTGTGGGTAGCTACAGCTATCCGCGTTCAGGGTTTTAGTTTCAGGGTTTTACGGTGTTGGCGTTTGGGGATAAGTGTAGCTACTACACTTACTTCACTCCAAGCCCTGAAGCAAGAGCCACCCGACCTCCTCAGCTGTCTTACACCTCAAACCCTAGACCCTAAACCCTGAGCCCTAAGCCGGGCCTGAGAGTGACACAGGTCTTCGGAACTGGACTTACTGAGCCTTGCTGCAGGGTTTTATACAACCCACTTATGAATCATTCACAGGTTATAGATGGATTGCGAAGATAGAGGAAGTTTGTAAGCATGGGTGTGCTGGAAGGTCTTGTGGTTTCATAGTGTCACAGGTTTTTCTGCCGGAACTTTGCAAGTTCAAGCCCTTGGGTTTCGGTGATTTCGGGTTTAGGCATGGATGTAGGCCATTTCGCTGACCATCATTGAATACGGGATCGCTTAGGATCATGTTACAGAGTATGGCTGCTGCACGTCCGGGTCCGTGTAGGTCCTGGACCAAACAAGCTCCTTAGGGTTTAGGGTTTAAACATTACATAACTGCCGATACTATTCCTGAGGGTTCCGTGTTCTAAGTATACCATAAGGAACCCCAAGCCCTAGTTTAATTGTTAAGGCCCCTGCATTGCAGCCATCAAGAGTGAGAAAATGCCATTGAACGCCAGAGTTCCCAAGGAGGCAGTTCGAGATTCCTATCTGTGAAACATCCGCCCCCCCCCGGCCCTCCACCAACAACGATCGTTTAGGCTTCATGTTTTTCCGGCTTAGAGATGTTCGATGCTTAGGCTCAAGGGATGTTCATGGACGTTAGACTGGGCAGAGATGTTTACAGATGTAGGGAGTTGGGCATTCGGTTTCAAGGACTCGGATGTGCCATGAAATCTCAATCTAGACCCTCCACACCATTTCCAGGATGAGCGCTTGCTTGAATATGTGCCTTGGTTGCACTGGATTCACAGCTTGCTTGCAGTGTGTGACAAATCTCAGGTGGAGGCTCAAAGCAGGTAGGGAATGCACAGTGTGGGATTGGGGTTCAGGGTGTTTGAAGCCACCCTAAGCCCTCAACCCACAAGTCCTAAACCTGGGTGCCTGAGCCTGAGAGGGTTTAGGGTTTAGGGTTTAGGGTTTAGGGTTTAGGGTTTACCTGAGAGTGGGCTTCATGGCAAATCGGTGAAACCGCCCGTGAAGCCAATATCATGGCTACTAGCTTCTGAGTGGGTTTCGTTTTGTACCAGATGCATTGCATCAACCGTGGGGTTTAGGGTTTAGAGATCCGTCAACTTAGTAATTTATCATGCATCAACCGCATGTTACCCATGACCCCTTACCTTGGCATTACTATGCAATTAGCTGGGCCATCTGAGGCAAGATACACTGGAACAAATGCTTTCGCCCCTTTCTTTAGGTACCCTTCCTCCCCGAAGCGCCCTCCGACGCATCATATACAACCCTAAACCGCAGTAACCCTAAACACTACACCAGACATTCTGATCCCAAAATCCATCACTGCACGCAGGGCATATCCGTAGATAGATAAGGAGCGCATCGTTTTTGATCTATCCTCGGGTGTGCTGTAGAGGTCTGAAGACTTAGCAAGACCATAATTTGGCTTATTCCGGTTGTAGGTGCTAGGTGGTGACGGAGCCACTTTCTCTCAGTTGGGGGGAGGTTTATGCACTAGTTGTGCTGCTGCACTCATTGCTGGAAAATCACATGATCTTGGCAGATCGTGATGCAGCGCCTACGCCTCTCGTTGAGGTGCAGGGGACCAAAGTCAATATTAGGATCCTTACAGTAGGCTGTATTGCAAAGAGCGTCTGTTCGTCCGCCTTCAACACCACTGCTGAGTTTGCAAGTACCCTGAATGAGGGTTTGACCCAAGGGCTCGACCGTTCCCGTCAGGTCCCTTCTCCTCCTAGCCGGGCAGGTTGGACGTTCAGGATGAAAGTAACTAGAATGATAACTCGCCCCATGTTAAGGAGTCCTAATGGTGATCCTAACATTTAAAACCCCAGGCATTTTTTGTGTTGAACCTTTTGATCAGGGTGTCTACATGTATAACCCCAGCCACTTCAACTTCCTTTGTCATAGTTGGGTAACATTTTACATGTTGATGGGTACTTAAACCCAATAAGGACCAACATCTAAATTTTAGTCCTATCCCAACTATGAACCCTATACCCCTAAGTGTATTGGACCTCTATGTATGATTTGCAGGTCTCGGTTGTTTCGAAGGACGCATAGGGATAGGAGAATACAGAAACCAGTTTCAATAATTTCAATTTTTTCAAAAATTTTTCCTTTTGATGAAAATTATTGAAAAAATTGAATTTTTTGAAAAAATAAAGACCTGGCCAGGCCCGGCCGTCGCAGGCCAGGATTCTTTAAAATTTTTGAAAAAATTGAAATTTTTGAAATTTTTGAAAAAATAAAGACAATTTTTTCAAAAAATTCATTTTTTTTAAAATTTTTTCCTTTTGAGGAAAATTTTTGAAAAAATTGAAATTTTTGAAAAAATAAAGACCTGGCCAGGCCCGGCCGTCGCAGGCCAGGATTCTTTAAAATTTTTGAAAAAATTGAAATTTTTGAAATTTTTGAAAAAATAAAGACAATTTTTTCAAAAATTTCAATTTTTTCAAAAATTTTTCCTTTTGAGGAAAATTTTTGAAAAAATTGAAATTTTTGAAAAAATAAAGACTCTGGCCAGGCCCGGCCGTCGCAGGCCAGGATTCTTTAAAATTTTTGAAAAAATTGAAATTTTTGAAATTTTTGAAAAAATAAAGACAATTTTTTCAAAAATTTCAATTTTTTCAAAAAATTTTCCTTTTGAGTGAAATATTTGAAAAAATTGAAATTTTTGAAAAAATTGTCTTTATTTTTTCAAAAATTTCAAAAATTTCAATTTTTTCAAAAATTTTAAAGAATCCTGGCCTGCGACGGCCGGGCCTGGCCAGAGTCTTTATTTTTTCAAAAATTTTCCTCAAAAGGAAAAATTTTTGAAAAAATTGAAATTTTTGAAAAAATTGTCTTTATTTTTTCAAAAATTTCAAAAATTTCAATTTTTTCAAAAATTTTAAAGAATCCTGGCCTGCGACGGCCGGGCCTGGCCAGGTCTTTATTTTTTCAAAAATTTCAATTTTTTCAAAAATTTTCCTCAAAAGGAAAAATTTTGAAAAAATTGAAATTTTTGAAAAAATTGTCTTTATTTTTTCAAAAATTTCAAAAATTTCAATTTTTTCAAAAATTTTAAAGAATCCTGAGGGCCGCGCCTGGCCAGGGTCTTTATTTTTTCAAAAATTTCAATTTTTTCAAAAATTTTCATCAAAAGGAAAAAATTTTGAAAAAATTGAAATTTTTGAAAAAATTGTCTTTATTTTTTCAAAAATTTCAAAAATTTCAATTTTTTCAAAAATTTTAAAGAATCCTGGCCTGCGACGGCCGGGCCTGGCCAGAGTCTTTATTTTTTCAAAAATTTCAATTTTTTCAATAATTTTCCTCAAAAGGAAAAATTTTTGAAAAAATTGAAATTTTTGAAAAAATTGTCTTTATTTTTTCAAAAATTTCAAAAATTTCAATTTTTTCAAAAATTTTAAAGAATCCTGAGGGCCGCGCCTGGCCAGGGTCTTTATTTTTTCAAAAATTTCAATTTTTTCAAAAATTTTCCTCAAAAGGAAAAATTTTTGAAAAAATTGAAAGTTTTGAAAAACAAATTGTCTTTATTTTTCAATAATTTCAATAATTTCAATTTTTTCAAAAGTTTTAAAGAATCCTGGCCGGCGACGGTCGGGCCTGGCCAGGGTCTTTATTTTTTCAAATAGTTTTATTGTTTCAACAAGTGTTCCTTTTGAGGTAATTCGAAGCACTTTGAAACAATTGTCTTTATTTTTAAAGAATTTCAAGCTTTTTTCCGAATTATCAAAGAATACCCTTTTCTTGTTGGGGTGGAGGACCTGCAACGGGATCTCTTCCTTTACCAAGAGGTTTTTGGAGCAGCCCTCTTCTTTCTTGTGAAATTGGAGCGAGCTTTCTTCCTGTTTTCGATGATTAGGTACAGAACTCACACACTGTTGGGGGGGTCGTCTCTGTCTTCTGTGGCTAGGAGTGAAGTCTCTCCAGTCTTGAGAAGCGGCTTACCAATAGATAATGGACATCTCTTCTAGAAAGAAGCCCTCTTCTCTTGCCACGGAACTCTTGGGGAGGAGCTCTCTTCTTGTTGGCGGCATGAGGTGGGGGAGTTTTCATGGTTGAAAGAAGGAAAAGAGGCTGGGTGGGAGCTCCACCATCTCTTAGGTTCACTTCCATATTTTGAAAGGTAGAAGGGATAGTCAGTATCTCGTTTTTTACCTGTAGAGAAGCTTGGTCTCTTCTTGCCGACTGAGGGGTAAACGGAGCTCTCCTTTTTCTCGAAAACTTGTAGGTACATGGTTTTCATTTTGTAGATGGAGCTCTCTTCTGTCTCATCAGGTTGGAGGAAGCTCTCAGTCTCTTCTTCTTTTGCTTTTGTCTTTGGAAGTTGGGGGAGCTCTGGTAAGCTCCAGTCCAACTTCTGAAGAGGAAGAAGGGATAGTCAGGAGCTCTCTTAATTTCCCTTGCCAAGGGAGAAAAGAGGCTTTATTTCGCCGACTGAGGGATAAGTGGGGCGATCTCCTCTTTCGCGAAGTTGGAGGGGCTTATGTAATGTTTCTCGAGAAGCTAGAGGGGCCTGTCTTCTGGGTCGTTGGGGGTAGGGGACCTGCCACGGGATCTCCTCCTCAGCCCTCTTCTTCGTTATGAAATTGGAGGGAGCTTTCCTTTGGTTTTGGATGATAAGGTATTGCTTCATTGTTGAGGGTAGGGGCGTCTCTGTCCTCTCTGGCTGGGAGTGAGGTCTCTTCACTCTTCTCAAAGTTGAGAAGCGACTTACCAAGAGGTAATGGAGCTCTCTAGAAAGAAGCTCTCTTCTCTTACAACGAAAATGTCGGGGGAGCTCTCTTCTTTTTCTTTTAGAGCATGAGGTGGACGAGTTCTGTTTCTTTTTCAAGAGGGCCAGACCTCTTTGTTTGAAGGGCTCCACCCTTTCTTTGAGCGTATGCTCTCTTCGTCTTTTGAAGGGGTAAAGGGGATAGTCAGCATCTCCTTTTGCCTAGAAAGAAGGAGGTCTCTCCTTGCCGACTAAGGGGTAAACGGAGCTCTCTTCTTTCCCGATATCTTGGAGGGGCTTGTTTGTTTTTTATTGAGATGGAGCTTGCTTCTGTCTCATTAGATTGGAGGAAGCTCTCAGTCTCTTCTTGTCGAGGACGAGGTAGAGAGGGCTTTTCTTTTTGGAAGCTGCTGGAGCTCTGCCCTCTTTTGCCAGTGTATCTCTTCCTCTACTGACAGGCAAAGGAGCTCTCTTCTAGAAAGAAGCTGTCTTCTCTTACCAAGAGTAACTTGGATTGAGTTCTCTGCTTGTTTCCGAGGATGAGGTCGAGGGCTTCTCTTTGCCTTTTGAAAGCCGCAGGGGAGGACCAGACTTCGCTTGTCAAGGTTTGAAGTTTGGAAGAGCTCCGTCCCTTCTTTTTGATCGAACGCTCGCTTGAATGTATTGAAGAGGAGAGGAGATGGTCAGGAGCTCTCGCCGCTGACTAAGAGAGAAAGGAGTCTTCTTGTTGTCGACAGAGAGGTAAACAGAGCGCGTGTTTTTCCGAGAAGTTAGAGGGGCTTGTCTTCTCAATTGCTGGGGTGGAGGACCTGCCACGGGATCTCTTCCTTTACCAAGAGGTTTTTGGAGCAGCCCTCTTCTTTCTTGTGAAATTGGAGCGAGCTTTCTTCCTGTTTTCGATGAACTCACACACTGTTGGGGGGGGGTCGTCTCTGTCCTCTCTGGCTACGGCTAGGAGTGAAGTCCCTCCAGTCTTCGCAAGACTGAGAAGCGGCCTCCCAACAGGTAATGGACCTCTCTTCGAGAAAGAAGCTCTCTTCTCTTACCACGAAAATCTTGGGGAGGAGCTCTTTTCTTGTTGGTGGCATGAGGTGGGGGAGTTTTCAAGGTTGAGGCAAAGGCAGGATTTCTCTCTTTGAACTCTTAATTTCCCTTGCCAAGGGAGAAAAGAGGCTTTATTTCGCCGACTGAGGGATAAGTGGGGCGATCTCCTCTTTCGCGAAGTTGGAGGGGCTTATGTAATGTTTCTCGAGAAGCTAGAGGGGCCTGTCTTCTGGGTCGTTGGGGGTAGGGGACCTGCCACGGGATCTCCTCCTCAGCCCTCTTCTTCGTTATGAAATTGGAGGGAGCTTTCCTTTGGTTTTGGATGATAAGGTATTGCTTCATTGTTGAGGGTAGGGGCGTCTCTGTCCTCTCTGGCTGGGAGTGAGGTCTCTTCACTCTTCTCAAAGTTGAGAAGCGACTTACCAAGAGGTAATGGAGCTCTCTAGAAAGAAGCTCTCTTCTCTTACAACGAAAATGTCGGGGGAGCTCTCTTCTTTTTCTTTTAGAGCATGAGGTGGACGAGTTCTGTTTCTTTTTCAAGAGGGCCAGACCTCTTTGTTTGAAGGGCTCCACCCTTTCTTTGAGCGTATGCTCTCTTCGTCTTTTGAAGGGGTAAAGGGGATAGTCAGCATCTCCTTTTGCCTAGAAAGAAGGAGGTCTCTCCTTGCCGACTAAGGGGTAAACGGAGCTCTCTTCTTTCTCGATATCTTGGAGGGGCTTGTTTGTTTTTTATTGAGATGGAGCTTGCTTCTGTCTCATTAGATTGGAGGAAGCTCTCAGTCTCTTCTTGTCGAGGACGAGGTAGAGAGGGCTTTTCTTTTTGGAAGCTGCTGGAGCTCTGTCCTCTTTTGCCAGTGTATCTCTTCCTCTACTGACAGGCAAAGGAGCTCTCTTCTAGAAAGAAGCTGTCTTCTCTTACCAAGAGTAACTTGGATTGAGTTCTCTGCTTGTTTCCGAGGATGAGGTCGAGGGCTTCTCTTTGCCTTTTGAAAGCCGCAGGGGAGGACCAGACTTCGCTTGTCAAGGTTTGAAGTTTGGAAGAGCTCCGTCCCTTCTTTTTGATCGAACGCTCGCTTGAATGTATTGAAGAGGAGAGGAGATGGTCAGGAGCTCTCGCCGCTGACTAAGAGAGAAAGGAGTCTTCTTGTTGTCGACAGAGAGGTAAACAGAGCGCGTGTTTTTCCGAGAAGTTAGAGGGGCTTGTCTTCTCAATTGCTGGGGTGGAGGACCTGCCACGGGATCTCTTCCTTTACCAAGAGGTTTTTGGAGCAGCCCTCTTCTTTCTTGTGAAATTGGAGCGAGCTTTCTTCCTGTTTTCGATGAACTCACACACTGTTGGGGGGGGGTCGTCTCTGTCCTCTCTGGCTACGGCTAGGAGTGAAGTCCCTCCAGTCTTCGCAAGACTGAGAAGCGGCCTCCCAACAGGTAATGGACCTCTCTTCGAGAAAGAAGCTCTCTTCTCTTACCACGAAAATCTTGGGGAGGAGCTCTTTTCTTGTTGGTGGCATGAGGTGGGGGAGTTTTCAAGGTTGAGGCAAAGGCAGGATTTCTCTCTTTGAAGGTTGGGTAGGAGCTCCGCTATCTCTTCTGTTCATTTCCATATATTGAAAAGGTAGAAGGGATAGTCATGATCTCCTTTTCTTACCTGTAGAGAAGCGTTGTCTCTTCTTGCCGACTGAGGGGTAAACAAACGGAGCTCTCCTTTTCCTCGATATCTTGTAGGGACATGGTTGTCATTTTGTAAATGGAGCTCTCTTCTGTCTCATCAGATTGGAGGAAGCTCTCAGTCTCTTCTTGTCGAGGATGAGCACTCTTCTCTCTCGCGAAGTTGGATGGGCTTGTGTGCTAATTTGAGACGGGGCCCTCGTCTGTCTCGTTAATAAGTTGAAGGAAGCTCTCTTCTTGTCGAGGATGAAGTACAGAACTTATGCATTGCTTTTGAATACCGGGGGAACTCTGTCCATGTTTTCAGGGGCGAGCTCTCTTCAGTCTTCGTAGGATTAGGATGAAGACTTCCCAAAAGATGAAGAGCTCTTCTGGAAAGAAGCTGTGTTCTCTTACCGAAAGTAGCTTGGATTGAGTTTTCTGCTTGTTTCAGAGGATGAGGTAGAAGGCTGCTATTTGCCCTTTGAAGGCCGCAAGGGAGGAACAGGCTTCTCTTGTTGAAGTTTGGAAGAGCTCCGTCCCTTCTTTTCGATCGAACGCTCGCTTCCATGTGTTGAAAAGGAGAGGAGACGAATGAACGCCGAATCGCAGACCGCGCCGCCGATATGAAAGCAGATGAAAAAGGTTGTGCGATCGTCAGAGATATATGACGAAGGTGTGACAGCTTCTGTTGTCATGTGCTACTCGACGAACCGCTCCAGAGGTCTAGGCGCGGTCTGTAACCACATATCAAAATCTCTTCGTTGCCTTACGGCCTCGAGAACTGTATCATCGGAGGTCCGCTTACCATTCCCCACAGCATCCGCGGCCTGGATCTGTCACAGCGTCACAAAGGCAACATAGCATCTCACTGTGTTGCGACCGATTGTTGGTTCAACCGCTAGTTAAACTCACGGCTGTTTGATGGACGGTGCCTGCAAAACAGCCTCCAGAGTGGGAAAGAACTGAGGTTGACCCAACAACAAACCCACACATTATACCTAAAGGTCCGTGCCACATACCCCTAAACCCTATACCCTTAAACCCTAAACCCTAAACCCAACCATGAACTAGCTTCAGGATGTGTCCTCGCACATCAGCAGCCTCGATCTGCGCTCCTTTCAGGTCCTCGCCAGTGAGGATGACAGGGGATTTAACGTTGGAACTTAGGGTCTAGGATGTATGGCTATAGGGTTTTAGGGCTTAGGGTTTACATATTGGCTGTAAACTCAACTTTTCAACTGTTGGGGTTCTTATATGGTAGTCGATTCTGAAAGTTTCGACTTTTATTTCCTTGGGTTTTGGGCCAGTGAGTTTAGGGGTTCGGTTACAAAACAGTGTGGGGGTTTGGGGTTGAGGGCTAAGGGTTCAGGACTGGTTTATTCTTAGAGTTTAGGGTTTGGGTTTTGAGGTTAGGTTTTCGGGCTTCGGAGCTGTTCGGGCTTACAGGGTTTAAGGGTTGAGGGTTTAGGAGGAGTGCTTGGCGTGAGGGTTTAAGTTCTCAGGGTTTAGGGTTTGGGGTTTTTGGGTTTTAGGGTTTAGGGGTTTAAGGGTCTTAGGGTTTTAGGGTTTAGGGCTTTAAGGGTATAGGGATTCAGGATTTAGGGTTTTTAGATGTAGGATTTCCGGGTTTAGGGTGAAGGGATTAATCGAGGCCAGGCTGTCTGGGCTAAGTTAGAGCTTCAGCCATTGAGTGTACTGCTTGGAGGGTCCGGGGACTTAGTAACTAGTTATTTTGGAGATTTATAGGTAGGATCCCTTTTAGGGTACTCATAAGTCTACTTATTATCTACTTGCTAAGTCCCCGGACCCTCCAAGTAGGATGCCCAGTAGTAGCCTTATTCCCTTTTTGCAGTCCTGGCTTCCTTTTTTTGGTACCCAAGACCAGAAAGGGAGCCCTTTTTATTCCTAGGTTGCATTACTGGGCATCCTAGGGTAGGCTTCCGGGATCATGTAGACCTTTGGGTGATAGAGCCCCAAAACCCCATTCTAATTATTAAGGCCCTCATATTCTGTTTCTTGGGTTGTTGGTTCGGGGGTGTACGGACTACTCCAAGGGTGCAAACACCTAGCAACTGGGTACCTGGACTTGGGATGGCGGTAACCCACGCCCACCCGCGTTGCAGATCTTTCAAGTTTGGTTGCGCGATGTCGCCCGCCCGCGCTGTTGTAACCCACGCCGCGTCGCAAATCTTTCAGGTTTGGTCGCGTGCCGTCGCCGTCGTAAACCACACTGCATTGCACCAGATGCGTCGCCACCTCTTAGCTGCTTGATTCGGCGACGTGGTGAAGTACGCGGCTAAGCCAGACTCAAAATGGGCCGGACAGCAGAATTGCGCCGTGAAGGTGCATTCTGATGCACGGCCCGAGTACGGCAAATACTTTTTTGCGTCGGCTTGAGAACGCGGTTGTCAAGGTACTTCGAGGAGCATCTGATTAATACTATCAGAATTTTGTATCCTTATCCCTAAGGGTCCATGTGCCCCTATAGCATATACTTCGGGCCCAATGTATAGGGAGTACTTTAAGGCCAATGTATATACTATCTGAGTACATGGACCCTTAGGGTATTGACGCATCTGGTAAACCTTGAACCCTAAGGCCCTGCACGGTGAGCTGCCATCATCCATCCCTCCGTCTTCCCCATGCCGTCCTTAAGAGTTCAGGCTACTGGGTGCAGGGAAGTGCTGCGATCCCAAACCCCAGGCACTAGTCTAATTCTTCAGGCCTCTATGCCCTAAACCCTTCAACCCCACAGCCCTGTCTAAATTGAAACTTAATGCCCGAAACCCTAAACCCAAAACCTAAACCTTTACAACTCTGAACCCGGCCCTAAGGCCGTAAACCCCGAACGGTGATCCTCCCTCAACAGATCCTCTACACGGATGGTCATCAGACGGATCTTGCCCTACCCATCGCTCAGAAGGCCGTCCTTGGAGTTGGGACCGCGATATTGTTACGGTCCCCTTTAGTTTTGTTTTTAAATAACGGTGCCGTACTATATTGGGCACCTAAGAAGGGACCCTAATTTCGAGAGCTGGCGGTTGATGATATAAATCCTGCATGGCCATAATAAGGAACATACCATAATACCCCTAGTCTAGGGTCCTCAAAGTATTGCAGGATTTATCTCTAGGGTCCTTCAAGGGTCCTTCGTAAAGGCTGCATGAACGGGTTTTTAAGTATCATACGGAAACAAGGGTTTCTTCAAGGCTTCCTGTAAGGCTCAAAAACAGTGTTTAATTTAAGGGTTACGCTGAAGGCTCAGAATCAAGGTTCCCTTAAGACTTGAAAGGTTCCTTTACTAGGATGCTCCCAGTAGTAGCCTTATTCCCTGTTCGTAGTCCTAGGTTCCTTTTACAGCTACCCAATACCAGAAAGGGGAGCCCTTTTATTGCTAGGTTACGGGGCATCCGAGTTTTAAGTACCCATAAGCCCTGCTGCTCATCAAGCATCTTCTGATGACACATTGGGATGTAGCTCGATATTTCTTCACTGCGTTACAACTAGCCCGGACGATAAATCCTAATTAGACATTAATATAGTGAGGTAGGGAGCAGAACGCGTTGTATCAGAGATGTTCATACAGGCTTCGTAGAATTGCGCAAAGTTCATTTTGGGGGGGTTCGATAAGGGTATAGGTTTTTTTTATGAACAGGGTTCGGGGGCCAATGTAGTCTAAGTGCGTAGTACCAAGGAGTGAGCATTCCAAAGCCTTCGGACCCATATTCATATCTAGCCCCGAACAGAGGCAAGATTCTTCCTCAGGGTTTCCAAAAAACGTTTTCCAGAGCCAGTGGTGAAACTCCCAAAAGAGCCCAAGTCCAAGCTTCTTGACAAGGCCTTTGACCAGGGCGTTCCGATCATCGCCGACATCGAAGTCTTAGACCAAGCAGCTCGGTTTAGGGTTTAGGGTTAAGCCTAAACCCTAAACTCTAGACCTTAGCTTGGAGTGGGTCCTCAGGCTGCGCAGACCAGAGCTTTAGAAACGGACCCGGAAGCCTACCTGGAGGCTCATACCTCACCCCTTTTTTTGGATACCTAGTTTTATGGTTAGGATCTGTTATCTTAAACAGTAGGCGCCCTAAAACAGTGGTAGGGTGTGAGCCTCTAGGTAAAGCCTAAACCTAGAGTTTGACCAACAACCTTAATACCCAAACCAACATTACCCAAACCCTAAACCCCCTAGACTTAGACCTGTTGTACCCATTGCCCAGCAACCTGCTGTAACAGGTATCAGTCCTTGCCTGTCGACCCTGTCCCTACCTGGACCCTATAGAATGCAGTACCTGTTGTTGAAAAATTGGCCGCTTTCATGGTTGGGATCCTTTCTATGGTACACTCCTAAGCCACAAATCCGAAAAGCTTGTAAAAGCTTGCAGAAACCCTGCTTGGGACAATTACCTGCATGGGCTTTCAATAACTTCGAATCTAGAATGTAGTCGCCGTAGGCTCAAGCACCCACGAGAAGAGGAAGAAAGTCCGTGTTCGAAGCTTTGCCCTACACCCTAAACCCCAAACCCTAAACCCCTAAACCCTAAACCGTTTTGTACCTCAATTCGGAGAAGGTGTTAGGGTCCAGGGCTTCGGGCATCCCGAGCTTGCTACAACGTCCATCTAAGGCTGGTTTTAAGGAGTACAGTCTACATACGGGTAACAAGTGTGAAGTGTCCCTCAATGCATGCCTCCACTACAGTGGTGTTAGGACTTGGCCTGAATTCTTGTTGCTAGTTCCTGAAGGCACAGCCCTTAACCAACAAATCAAGAATCCCGAAATGCTTGTACCCAGACCCCTAAACTCTAAACTCTAAGCTGCGAAACCCTAAACTCCGTAAACCGTAAATCCTAAACCCTACAACCCCTAAACCCTAAACCCTGGAAGCCCCACACCTCAGGATTGTCGGGCACTTGCCAAGCTGGCGAGTCACGTCATTGCCCCACTTGAAGTCTTGCAGGATGGACCTTCATCAATAGGGTTTGGGGGTTTGTAGTTTGGGGTTTGGGGGTTTTGGGTTTTGGGGTTTAGGGGTTTAGGGTTTGGTGGTTTTAGGGTCCTCATGGGTGATTATAAATAAAGGGGGGATAAGTGGGGTAAGTATGCTTATAATCCATAGTCGGGGACTTATAACCCCACTTATATTTGGGGGTGGGTTTTGGGTTTAGAGGTTTAGGGGTTTAGTGTGCGCTCAAGGGTTAAGGGGTTTGGAGTTTAGGGTGTTGGGGGGTATGCTCTACTATAAGTACAACAGGAACCTTATGGTATGATATCATATAATAGTCATTCGATATACATGTATATACCATCTAGGTACATGGAGCATTTAGGGTTTTAGCCACATGCTTGCGTCCCAGAGTATCTTGTGGAGGTTGCGGGCCTTTCGCCTTGCATCCGAAGCCCACGAAGTATCTTTATCCTATACTTGGAGGGTCGGGGGACTTAGGAAGTAGTTATTCTATAGACTTACAAGTACCATAACCCAAATCAGTGTCCCCTTTAGGGTACTTATCGGTCTACTTACTACCTACTTACTAAGTCCCCCGACCCTCCAAGTAAGGGCGGCAAACTACCTTTGCGTTCGGATTTTGCTACTGTAGTTGTGTCAACCCTGCTTTCGAGATTAACAGTTGGCTGACAACTCCAAACCAACAGCACAAGGGCTTTACACTTTGTGGATGCCCCGACGCCCATGCCTTGTCGGCAGCAGCTTTTCTGGGGCTTTCAACGATCCATAGGCCCCAAAGTAGTTCCTTTTGGGGATGACTTTATAGGATTCTAAATATGAACCCCCAAAAGGAACTACATTGGGGCCTTTGGGTAGTGCTGCCTGCCAAACAGAAGTTACTGCGGCCGCCGGAGGGCGAAGGACGGCCGAGGCAAGGCAGCAAGATAGACACCAGCCCCTGAAGCTTCCCCAAGGTTCCATGTGCCCAAATAGTATACACTTTGGCCCGAAGGTTACATTATATCCATACATTAAATCTTCTATATATGCGCACATATATATATATCTATGTATGTATGTATGTATGTATGTATGTATGTATATATGTACTTTTATGTGTATATATATATATATGCATATATTTCTATATATTTGTATATATATATATATATATATATATATATATTCTACAGAAAGGAATTGGGGCCCTCAGGGCGACGCTTTCTGCAGAAAGTGTCGCCCTGCACGCCCCATGTTGTCGCATTTCTATAACATTGACCCTATGCAGCACAGCACTCAACAGATTGGGGAACAAATATTTTTCCCCCAAAACATGTTCAGTGTCTTCCAACACCCCCTTAAACCTCGAATCCTAAACTCTACAGGCTAAAGCTTTAAGGCAAAAGCCAGAAAGTTGGAACATCGTCATCCTCTGCTAAGCATGACGCCCTAAGCAAAGACATCATGTCGGGATGCAGGAGCTTTCTGGCGAGACCGATCCAGAGCGCATCGTGAGACTTCTCTCCGATCGCGAAGGGAAGACAGTGACACGTGGCAAGTAAGAGCTGGATGTTTCGGGCTTAGGGGTAAGAGCCGGGTGTTCTACTTAACATAGTATGGTTTTTATGCTATATCATACCACAGGAGGTTAACAACATTGATGTTTGTGTTTGTATTGGGTCGAAGGGGGCTTAGTGTATGCAGCAAACTGTCAACCTCGTAAACCTTGGCGGTTCTGAAATTCAACCCTCTAGACCATAAGACTCGTCAATAAACCGGACACCTCATCAACCCGAGCTTTCGTAAGCGATAACCCCTACAAAGCCCCAGTACTTAATAATCATATACTCTCCCAAATACGAACCTACACCACTATTATCCGTAACCCAAGTACCGAATCATTAGGTCCTTTGGAGCCTTAGGGTTCCTACACCAGATAGGCCGAAACTCCAAGTCCTTGAGGCCCTGAGCCTGGGTTTAAGTTTAGGGTCTAGGGGAATATACAGGTCGGAGAAGATTCAGAATCTCACCCCTCCGTCTCTGTAGGTATAACATAGCATGCCCCAAAATCTTATTTCAAGCATAGAGGCTACCTTCTTGGATCGTTGTTCTGTTGGGGTGCTCGGGAAGAGCAAGCGTTTTCAGTTTTCGCTCTCCATTGGGAGGTTTTGTTGGAACGTCGGAACACCTTTGCAGTTGTCGATTGGCAACAAGCTTTTGGTTATTTCTATCACGCATGAGTCCCATGCTTTGTCCCCGAGAGACATATACAGACCATACGGCGTTCGTACATCAAGTCTTCAAAGTGTGACCCTGCAGAATAGAATATGCAGATACTGCAGATACGCAGTACCTGGGAGAACGGCAGGTTTCTGGTTGGCTACCCCCAACATCCCGATTCGCTCACGTTCTGGGTTCACACAAGCCTCCGAGCAGGGTGCAAGGCTTCACGGCTACGTTGGGCATCACAAAGCTTGGTTTCCTCCCTACCATTTGCCAAAGTGCCAGGTCACGGAGAAGAAAGCGCCCACATTGGGACAAACGCTATACCTATAGTCTCCATTGTAGTTCCATTTTTTGGTTAACCAAGATCTCTATTATAAGGTCCTAACCATTAAACTGGTTAACAAAAAAAGAACTACAATGGAGACTATAGGTACAACCATCACGCGTGGCTCAAAGAATGGGAGCCTGACCGCCTCTCGGCTTGCTGCTGCACTGAACTACCCGGCAATCGCACACCTTCGGGACACATAGCGGCTCCCCGCTTCGACAGTGCCGCGACATCTCGTCTACAATGAGAACATGGGAGATGGACGATGGCTTTCAAAGAACCAGTTTCGACGACATGCAGTTGCACCGGTCCAGCGCTGGATGCAACAATGGAGACAACTAGATAGATGTCTCCCTTCTACGCTGGCAAGTCCAGCTTTGTGTGAAGTAGCAGAGCCCACACGTACCCTGAACACCCATAGGCTTTGAACCCAAAGACTCAACCGAATTGCAGAGCCCAAAGCTAATTGTAGCCAAGGTACGACGTTGCTGCTCTGAAACCCGACGCCTTGACGCCCTACACCCTAAATCCCAAACCGCCCCCAAAAGCTCGAAACAACCATGAGCAACAAGTCTTGCAGGGCCCTAAATCCAAATCCTAACGTCTAAACCCTTTGTTTAGCAAAAACTAGCCCTATAAAGCCCTACAGTTTAAACCCTAAACCCTTACAGTACCGAAGCCCTAAACCCTAAAGCCCTAAATCCTAAACCCCTAAACCCTAAAGCCTAAACCCAGAAGCCCTCAACTCCTAAACCCTAAACCCCTAAAGCCATAAACCCCTTTAAACCCCCCAAACCCCAAAGCCCCTAAGCCCTCAATCCTAAACCCCAAACACAAGCCCCGGAAGACTAACAAGACCACTCAGGATCCTAAACCCTAAACCCTAAACCCTAAACCCTAAACCCTAAACCCTAAACCCTAAACCCTAAACCCTAAACCCTAAACCCTAAACCCTACTCAGGATCGCCACAGCAGGGCTCGCGGGCTCCTATGGCACTTCCTTTGAAGATCCTACAGTCTACCACGTGAAGGTGGCGCTTTGTTTTGGGCTTTAAAGGGCTCCTTAAAGGGAGCTATAGGGTTCCTTAAAGGTATCTATAGGGTTTAGGGTTTACTTGGAGGGTCGGGGGTGGCGATCCCTAAACCCTAAACCCTAAACCCTAAACCGGGGCTTAGGGTGTACAGGGTTTAGGGCCTTTAGGGTCGAAAGTTCATCCTACAGTCTACCACGTGAAGGTGGCGCTTTGAAGGGCTTACTTGGAGGGTCGGGGGACTTAAGTAGGTAGTACGAAGACTTATAAGTCCCCTAAAAGGGACCCTAATTGGGGTTATGGTACTTATAAGTCCCGAAAATAACCAGTTACTAAGTCCCCCGACCCTCCAAGTAGGGTGTACAGGGTTTAGGGCGTATAGGGTCGAAAGTTCATCCTAGAGTCTACCAATTGAGGGTGGCGCTTTCAAGGGTTTAGGGTTAACCATGAGGCTCTAAGGATTCCGTGCACTACTCATATATTATGGCTTTTGGGCCCAAAGACCATACTATATGCTTTAAAGAGTTTAGGATTTGGGGTTTAGCTTAGGCCGTGCTTTCGCGTTCTGTGTGTTTGTGGTTTTTGTCTTTGCGCAAGGTTTCCTGCATTAGGTTTTCGGAATTCTAGGGCTCTAGTGGCTTTAACCTCAAAGTGAAAAGACTTTCCAAGTTCGATGTTCCCCCTGTAGCCCTAAACCCTTTAAGCCCCAAGCTCTAAGCCCTGTAGCCTTAAAAAGAAGCTTTACACAAAGCTTAATGCCTCTAGGGGGCCCACTTCAAGGCCAATATACTGCTATTCCTCAGGGTTCCTTATTCTAAGTTAGTTTGAAACGCTGCGCGTCGTCCGCCTCGGCCCGGCTGTACGCGCATGCGGCGAGTGGCTACTATCTGCAGTAGGCAGGAATTTCAGGTTTGAAACTCGCTTGGTACTGCAGCCTCAAAGGCGAGCCCCTACATTGCAGTCCTGTGTCGTCGAAAACGAAGGGGGAGGGGAGGGGGGGGAGGGGTGGGAGGGGGGGGAGGGGGGAGGGGGGGGGTGCGGGAAGCGCGGAAAATTGGGTGGGACTGTTTACAGAAAGCCAAAATCCACCGGAGAAGGCGAAAATTCACCGCCGGACCTTGGGGCTCATCGACACGTTTCCATTTTTTAGGGGGGGGGGGGGGGGGTCATTGGGGAGGGGATTAAGAGGTGGGGAATAGAGGAAATCCGGATAGGAACCTCTGACCGCTTCGGCCCCGGGGCCGAGGCGAATTATACTAGACTATACCCCAAAGCCCTATTCTAATCAGTCAGGCCCTAAAGCAAGCCCTTGAGCTTCGAACCATAGATTCAGATCCGCGCTCCCTACTTTAGTGTTGAGGCTTCAGGTTCCGGGCTATAGGGTTGAAGGTTTAGAGGTTTGGGGTTTCCGGTTCAGCGAATTAGGGTTTTGGGGTTGGGGGGCTAGGGTTTAGTTGAAGGTTTAGAGTTTTGGGGTTTACGGGGTTTAAGGTTTGGGGATTAGAGTCTACATTTTAGGCTTGATCTAGGCAGCCTGCCCAATTGGACCTCAGCGCAAGCCTGAAAGCCAAAACCCTCATATTCCTCCCCAGTTGTACCCTTTTGCACTTCTTCGGGGTCCCCGAAAACAGAATACCAGGAACAAGGGCACCTTTATCCAGAACCTTCTTCTTAAGTTGAGCTAATCCGGCTCCCCTCTATGACATGACCGCTCTTTGAGACTTGTGGGCACCTTTATGATTAAGGGGCTACTGGGGAACCTAGATTCACAAAAAAAACCCACACGTCCCCCAAAGCCTGCACCGCCGGGCCGGTGGCATCAGAAAAGTGCTGAGAGCCTTATGGGGTAGAATTAGGGTTTAGGGTGTATAGGGTGCAGGGTTTAGGGTTTAAGGTTTATAGGGTTTAGGGTTTAGGGTTTAGTGACAATTTGGTTAACAAAAACTCACTGATCGTTCAGGTGTTTTTGAACCGGCCTGTTGCTGTGCCTAATGGACCTGCAGCACAGAAGAAGAAGCGAGCCGTCCAGCAGGTACTCAGAAGCCCAGCTGCTTAGATACAGCAGAGGATTAGTAGCCCTTGGGGCCTGTGTATCTAACTCGCCTTACAGGGCCGGAGTCCCGCAACCCTGCTGTACATGAGGGTCCCGTTTTAGATCCCTTACATAGTACGGCACCCTTATCAACAGAAAGCCTAAAAGGCACACTAATTCAGAGAACTACGGTTGATGATATAAAGCCTGCATTACCTTAAGGACCCTAAACTATGGGAATTCTGGTTATATTCCTTATTGTGGGTAAGGCGGGAATTATGTCATCAACAGTACTGCTGTTTATTCGAAGCCTAGCTTGGTCTCTGCCAGGGCACCAGGACTCCGGGAATTTAAGTTACTATCGGGGCCAAAGTGATTCCCTCTACTATGATTTTTGTGTGTGTGTGTGTGTGTGTGTGCTTTTTTTTTTTTTTTTTGGGGGGGGGGCTCCTTTTTTAAGTATAATGGGCACCCAAACCTTATTCTAATTATCAAGACGCCCATATTAGGACTTTGGGATCCGAGAGCATGGGAGGTTCTCTGAAGGTTCGGGGATCATGCTGTCCAATGATGAAGGGTTCGAGGGTTTAGGGCTTCCGGCTCAGGGCTTTGAAGGTTCAAGGGCTTAGGGTTTAACGATGCTCGAGGGTAGAGCAAAACCTACCAACATCCAGCTTGCTTTCGCTTTCAGGTTCGACCAGAATGCCAAGCATTTGATACCCTTGGTGCTGGCGATGCCTACCATGCCGGCCGCTGGTCTAAAGCATGAACGCTTTAAAGCCTGAAAATTCACTACCCGACACCCTGAACCCTACCAAAACCTTAAACCCTATCCCCTGCGCTGGTGATGCAAGGGATTGAGACTTCAAGACTTAAAGGTGGGAATTTTGGGAGGTGGAAGACCGCCGGGGTGTTTGAACCGGCCTGTTGCTATGCCTAATGGACCTGCAGCACACGAGAAGAAGCGAGCCGTCCAGCAGGTACTCAGAAGCCCAGCTGCTTAGATACAGCAGAGGATTGTAGTCGAAGCCAGAAAGTTGGAACATCAGTATCCTCATGCCCCAAAGGTAAAGTATAAGAGATCCTAGAACTAATCCTCCTAAAACCATGTTCCAACTTTCTGGGGTCCACTCTAGTAGCCCTTGGGGCCTGCACCTAACTCGCCTTACAGGACCGGAGTCCCGCAACCCTGTATGTCGGCAATCGAACTTCCTAGGCTCACTTGTATTGAACTAGTTTGGCACACTGGAACGAAAGCCGGAATCTGGGTCGCAGGAGATGGCCCAACCAAGTCTGCTAAGCTAGCAGATCCTAAATTAAATCACCCAAACCTAAACCCCATAATTAATCCCTGCAGCCCGACTGTGCCTTCTGCCCTGGATAACCAAGCACGACGTTTCAACTTACTGGTGCAAAATCAGAAGAGAACCGAACCTGGCGGTCAAAGGAAATCGTGCTGAACCATACACGGCTTGGCACGGCGATACAAACCCGCTGTGATGGAATGTTACGTGTTTCGACATGATACTGCAGCAAGAACCTACAATACAACCGAAGTATATATCAAGACGCTGTGAAGCACAATGTACTTTAGCAGCAGTCTCTCAAGACCAATTTATTGACAGATGCAACCTGTGCGGGATTCCCTGTACTGCAATAGTATGGGTACTTGGACCCTCTGGGTAAACCGTGCCTTGCATCCACCATCAACAGCTGCATAGTGCCCACAACACATTAACTTGCCGATGCTGTTCCAAGAACTCTCAGCTAAACCCTAAACCTTAAGCCCTAAGCCTTAAAACCTAAACCCTGAACCTTAAACCCTGAACCTTAAGCCCTAAACCTTAAACTCTACACCCTGGGTAAATCTGAAGACTTCTGCAGGCTACGTGGCGGCAGTGTCTCGAGGCCTTTCGTGCGAAAGCCTCGAAGTCACCGACATTCTGGGCTTCCTTAAAGGGTCATGGGACTTAGTACCTAGGGGTTCCTTAAAGGGTTCCTTAAAAGGGATCTATAAGGGCTCTATAAGAGGGTTTCAGGGTTACTTAAAGGGTCATGGGACTTAGTACCTAGGGGTTCCTTAAAGGGTTCCTTAAAAGGGATCTATAAGGGCTCTATAAGAGGGTTTTTATGGGTTACTTAAAGGGTCATAGGACTTAGTAACTAGAGTTATAACTACTGTAACTATACTTATAATTGCTTATAACCCCAATTACTTATAACCCTACTTACTAAGTCCCATGATCCTCCAAGTACCTTAGGTCCCCAATGCCTGACCTTTGGGCTTCTTGGGTTCTTACAGTTTAGTAGGAATCGGAAAGTTCAACCTTTCATTTTTGTGGCTTATTGGGTAAGTTACTAAATAGGGGCCTTCATGATCAGAATAGGGTTTTGGGACCCATCATACTTCGTTATAAGGGGCCCCCGCACAGTATAGTTTGGTAATTATTTCGGCCCCAACATTAAGCCGCGGTGCTGTAGCAGGGTGTAGGGTTTAGCTGCAGTGCTTCGGGGTTTCCGGGTATTTGGGATCCTTGAATGCTGCCGTAAGAGTTGTGAAGGGGTTTTGACATCTAAGTCTGTAGGTGATCTGGAAGGAAGGCACCAGGTACTGTACGTGCTCAATATGGGTTCGAGAGGTCAGTTTCAAGGAGAAATCGTTGGGACCACGCTTCCTTATAGTGAGATACCACCTAAGCCGGACAGGTTTTGCGATCAACGAACATAATATAGAGTCCTGAGCAGTTACTCATTCCTAATCTAAGGGTGCCTTAATGCGTTCATCGTATAAACACGGCCTCTCGTCCAATTTCGCAAGCTCCTCTCTTCAAACAGTCTGATTGACTCAGAGCTTAGCTCCACGGCCAGGGCCCTAAACCCTGAACCCACTTGTTTTCTGCCTCAAGGCGGCTCAGGCATAGCCGTGTGCTTGCAGAACTAAACAAAACCCGAGGCCGTAGACTCTGCACCCTATCTGGTATGATATTTTTCTGAGTCCTTAGTATTGGCTTAGTAAGTCAGGATCCTACGGTCGGGGGTTCTACCCTAAACTTAACCCTAACCCGTACCCTAACAGCCCTCAAGCCCCATATAAGGATCCGGTATTCTTGCTGAAACTCGAACCCTGTCTGATACTTATTAGCCTATAAAATAACGTCTACTCACCCTAAACCCTAAACTTTAACCGTTCAAAAAATCATTATTTACTAGGTTCCCGCGACCCTCCAAGGGGAGCCCTAGGGAAAGCCAGGCCTCTAAACCCCAAACCGCAAACTCTAAATTCCAAGCCCCGAACCCTAAACCCTTAAACCCTACGCCCTAAACCTTAAACCTTAAACCCTAAACCCCAAGCCGGAGTCCTAGGGAAGCCAGGCCTTCACCTCGAGAACCGGATGGCCCTGGCCACCTCCGTGGCTGCCGCGCTCTGTGAAACCTCAGGAGCCTGGTACGGTGTATGAACAACTGAAGAAACAGCCAGGATCAATCTCTAGGTATTACATACTATCTTTATAAGTATTTGTATATATATAGCTATAGCTCATAACTATGTTTACGTGTATAGTGTTAAACGTATTGCGTTTGTTACTCGTTGTTGTGTTGATGAGCGGATATTGTCTCTTTGCCCCCCGTTGTTTGGAGCTTGTTGTTTGAAGTTGTTTATGTTGAGGTTTTGTCGGTTTTAGACGTTGGAGAGTCTACGACGTACTAGGTTTAGCGTGTCGATAGGGAGTTTAGACTCTTGACAGTTTAGTTAGGATTGAGCTGCTGGTCTCATGATCTAGGTTAGAGGATTTATGGGGTTCCAAGCAGAGGAGGGTTCAGGTTTTTAGGTTAATCCTTACTAACCCGCTAAACCGAACACAGGCGCGGGCAGACAAGGGACGTCAACACAGCGCTAAACAAACGACACAGAAATAGTTTTCTAATTCAGGAACTGCACAAAGTGAAACCTTAAATCCAGTCTGAAGCCCTGAACCGGAAAAAACCCAAACCTTGAAACCCATACACTCAAGGCCCGAACTCTAAACCTAAAACCGAAAACTAGAAACAGTAAGGAATTCTCAAAATGTTTCTTCAACCCTAAATCCTAGACGCTAAACTACAGCCCTTCAAAAAGTCTGCCTCAGCCCTAAACCCTAACCTACCACCCTAAACCATAAACCCTGAACCACAACTCTAGGGAACCCCCAAAACAGTCTCCTTCAATCCTAAATCCTCCACCAAAAACCCTAAACCCTAAACCACAACCCCAAGGAAACCCACCACAAAACTGAATCTCCACAAAAAGTCTCTAGACCCTATCAACCCCAAAACACTAAACCCCCAAACACTAAACCGTACTGTAAGGAGCCCCCAAAAAAGTTTCTTTAACAGATTTAAAGGAACTCTAAGCCCTCCTAGTATCCCTTAAAGGAGCCCTAAGGAATCCTTTAAAGGTGAACCCCCAACAAAATTCCCCATATATCGGAGTGCCAAAAAGTCTCTATGCCCTATAAACCCAATCCCTGAACCCCCAAAACACGAATAAGGAGACCCCAAAAGAAGTTTCTTCGTTCTTTATAGACTTGTAAGTACCGTAGCCCAAATTAGGGAACCCCTTTTAGGGTACTTATAAGTCTACTTACTACCTACTTACTAAGTCCTCCGACCCTCCAGGTAGACCCCCAAAGCACTAATAAGGAGCCCCCCAAAAAGAAGTTTCTATATCAGATTCCCAACTCTAAACCCTATAGTATCCTTTAAAGGACCCCTAAACCCCCAAAACACTAAATCGTAAGGAGCCCCCAAAGAAGTTTCTTTATCACACTCCCAACTCTAAACCCTACTAAACCCCAAACCCTAAACCCTTATTTCATTCAGAAATCCCTGAGTCCCAGGACCCGTGCCCTCCCTCGAAGCGCTTCGCCGGTTCGGCTGCCTCCTCGACGCGGAGTGAAGAAAAAAAGAGCCGGGGGTTTGAAGGTTTTTGGGGTTTGGGTTTTAGGGGTCAAGAAGAGCCGGGGGTTTGAGGGTTTTTGGGTTTAGGGTTTTGGTGGTTTGGGATCTAAGAGTTCGGGGTTTGGGGTGTTAGCCTGTGTGGTTTTGGGTTTGGGGTTCAGGGTGCGGTTTACAGTGTATAGGGTTTGGGTTTTAGGAATTAGGGTTCTGTGTGCAGGGTTTCGGGGTTTGGGTCTAGAGTTTAAGTGTTAATGGTTTAAGGGTCTAACGTGGGAATTAGGGCTTAGGGTTTAGGAAGGGGGGGGAATAGAAAGAGTTTAGGGTTTTTGGGTGAACCTCTCAATGGAGCTTTACTGACAGGATTGTGCGAGCGCGCTCCAGGGATCTTCAAAGGTTTGCCTATAGTTTCCGTGGTAATTATTTCCTGTTTGGGTCAACCAGTTCCATGGTTAGGCTCCTATAATGTAATTTGGTTAAGCAAGAAAAGGAACTACAATGGCGACTAATTATATAGGCAGTTGAAGATTGAAGACTTTACGAGTGCCATACCGTGGAACATGTCTTTCCCGAGCCCTGATGTACTTTGAACATAAACCCCAAGCCGTAAACCCTACACCCTGAAGGCAAAAGCCGGAGCATTTGTTGCTTTGGCTGAAGTGTTCTTGAGAGTCCTAAACCCCTTTACCGTGGAACCCGTAAACCGTAAACCCCAAACCCTAAATCGCTGTGTCCTTAAAAGCTTATGTGAGATCCCAGGCCTCAACACCCCCCAAGCTGAGGCTACAGTCGTGCTGGCTATCTATGTGAGACGTCTGGTGCCCAGAGCCCGAAATCCCTAACCCCTGTTCTCGGATACGCGCAGCTTGGAATCGGTTATATAAACACAGGCAATTAGGTAGGTAACCTGGAAAGGGGTGTAAGGTAAATCTCATCAGGCAAACCCGTAACTTCACACCAGAACGCAAAATCATAAACCCTAAACTGCCTTAAACCCCGAACCCTAAACCCAGAACCCTTCAACTTGTAAACCCTAAGCATCGCAAACCCCAATACCCACAAACCATAAACCCTAAGCACGCAACCCATCAGATCAGGGCCGTGGGTTTGTAGGGCTCTAGGGCAGGGCTGTTTTCAGGGCTCAAAACAATATCCGGGCTCGATCGGGGGAGTCGAGAACTTTTTACAAAGCCTCTTTCAACTGCTTTCGCAGAGGCTGGGGGTTGATAATTCGCTGGCAATTTACCCTTACAAGGCCGACAAAAGCAATAAGAACAATTTATGACCTCATAAAGCCCTGGTGCAGAGAGGCTTAATGCAACGGGAACTCAGCCACGGGGCCCGTGCGACTGCCTTTGATTGAAGGTTCTTGTACCATAATAAAGATGTATCGCCAAAGTTGTTCTTTCTTTTTTGTCGTGTAGATGTGGATTGGGATGCGGTGTCACCGAAGCCCTGAAGCCCAAAGCCTTCACCCCGAAGTTGAACCCCTGCACCAACTGGGTGAGCTGAGGTTATGATGTCGACATTCCGCTGGAGAGTGATCTACCCGAGGCCACCGGTGCAGGATGGGGCTGCTTCTACATGGCCCGAAAGTTATAGTATAATGGGCTATTCTAATGGGTAAGGCCCTTATAGCAGGGTTTTTAGGGTTTAGTGTTTATACGGTCAACCTACAACAGCACTGGTAGCAGGTATCCTGTGAGCTTTTCCTGCGTAAATACTGGTAATCCCCGTGGCCGAAATGCACCAGAGCCTCTTTTGGGCGTCCTTCGGCCGCTGAGAGAATTCTGCACCCTACACCTTCGCAAGGCTTAGGGTTGGCGGTGCAGAACTGATCGGAAGGGGTTTGGGGTTGAGGGTTTGTGGTGCAGTAACTCCGCAAATCGCGCTTCGCTTTCCGGGCTTGTGCAGAGTAGCCTGGAGCCTTTGTGTCGAAACCCGAAACCCTAATGCATCAGCCAACCCTAAACTGCCTAAACTTAGATAGTGAACGCGGGAACTTTAAACTTTTTGGCCTTGTATGTTCGCTCTATCTTAGAAGGTTTGACCTTTTTGGGGTCCGGTTGTTGAAGAAGAGAGTAAACCCCTAAACCCTTAACCCCTTAAGCGCACCACACTCCCTCAGAGTGTAGGTTCTAGCCCGTTGGAGTCCACGTATTCAGAAAACAGTATATGCTGTGGCCTTGAAGTAGTCACTTTCTACCTAGAGGCTCCAGTGTAGTTTTTTTTTTGGGACTACCTTATAGGATTCTATATATATGAACCCCAAAAAGGAACTGCTATGGGGCCTCTGGGTAAAGTAGTCACTTTCTAGGTACCTACGGCCAAAGTATATACTATCTCGGTACATGGACCCTTAGTTAAGGTAGGCTTTCGGGGTTGCAGCCTTTAGGTGCTAGAGTTCGTGCTTGTATTGTTTTCGGCAGCCTCTCCAGTTTCAAGGTTTTCAGTGCTTGTCTGACTCTGGAACCCACTCCCCGAAGCCTTGATACTGTGGGTGCTGAGTATAGAGATCTGTCTATATTACAGAACTAGTTACTAGTAGAGACTCCTTGCAGTTCTATTTACATAAGCTACCTCAAAACCCCTATTCCACTTCCTGAGGCCCGTCTTGAAAAAAGAAGCCAGCATCTGGCTTTGTCAATGGTATGGTTACTCATGATATGTAGCTCCCTAAGGGTCCATGTATTCACATAGTATAGACTGAGGCCTTAAAGTACCTTTCTTAGAGACTACATTAAGGCCTAAGTATTTTTGGGTGCATGGATGCTAAAACATAAACCCTGAGCTCATTATATGGGTGGTTGTCAAAATTATGGTCCCTTTTTGGGTACCCTAAATAATAGGTGCCGTATGATAGTAAGGACCCAAAAGGGACCCTAATTTTGACAACCACCCATATAAATCCTGCATTACCCATAACATTATTCCCATAGTTTAGGGTCCGTAAGGTAATGCAGGGTTTATATCATCAGCAGTAGTGGGGTTCCTCATAAAATTTCGATGATATATAATTGGGTGTCTGGCGCTCAGTTGGCGGCCAGGTGCGGCACTTTTTCGGGCCGGCAGAGCCGTTCCTGACAAACCTCGGTGCCCTTGACTGCCTTTAGGGTCTTAGGGTTTAGGGATTTTAGAATCTTAGGGTTTAGGGTCTAGGGTCTTGGGGTCTAGAGACTTTAGGGTCGTTTTTGGTTTAGGGACGTTGGAGTCTTAGGGTGTAGGGACTTGAGAGTCTTAGGGTTTTGGGGTATATGGGCTTTAAAGTCTTACGGTTTAGGGTTTAGAGACCGTAGAACCTGAGGATTTAGGGACTTTACAGTTTTAGGGTTTAAGCAAAATAGAGTCTTAGGGTTTAGGGGTTTGAGAGTCTTAGAGTTTTGGGGTGTATGGACTTTAAAGTCTTAGGGCTTATAGGGTTTAGAAACTTTAGAATCTGAGGGTTCAGAGGCTTTAGAATCTTAGGGTTTAGGGACTTTAGAGTCTTAGGGTTTAGGGTTTATAGGGACTTTAGAGTCGTAGGTGGCAGGGCTCACAGGTTTTCTGGGTTTGGGGGGAGTCATACACACAATTATGGTTCAGTTAGATAGTTCCTGTTCATGCAATGCTGAATCTGCATTGCATGTTCATTTAGTGTGTTGCGGGAGTCGGGAAATGACCCCACTAAATCCCAAACCCTAAACCTTAAACTAAACCCTAAAACCTAAACATTGAATCCTAAACCTTAAATCCTAAACCCTAAACATTGAATCCTAAACCTTAAATCCTAAACCCTAAACCCTAAACATTGAATCCTAAACCTTAAATCCTAAAACCCTAAACCTTAAATCCACAACCCTCAACATTGAATCCTAAACCCTAAACCTTAAATCCTCAACCCTAAACCCCGAAGCCCTAAACTTCCTTGTGTTTCTGTGTTGTTTTGTCCGGCCCTCTGGGTTGGATTTATGAGGAGCTGTCTCCTTAGGTCCTTTATTATGTCTGAATTGCGGTTTCGGAAGAGGGTCTAGTAACCCTTTAGAGTGGTGTTGTAGGGCTTTGGGCTTTAGAGCTTATAGGGTGTGCAGGCTTTTTGGCTTAGGGCTCCTGGGTTAAGCGTTTGCGGCTCTAGGTCTCCGGGTGTTACGCTTATAAATAGGGCTTTAGCATTTGGCGCCTTAGAACAGGTCATTGATCTGGGGATGTTATTCAAGGATCGGCTTGCTTCTGTCGTGTTCCAGTTTCACGGGTTAGCGTCGAGATTTGTCCGTCTGGGGCCCAAGTTTCAAGGTATGTTTACATCAATGGTCGCCAAAACATAATTGCAGCCATGCAGGACCCCCTAAACCCTAAACGGTTTAGGGTGTGGAGCTGCAAGAATCTTAGAAAGTTGTTAGTGCGCACTCCCTTAAGCAAGCCTGACGTTGCTCGTCATGTTTCATGGTTTAGGGTTTATGCCTTTCAGGGCACTTCAGTTTGGCTCCTTCGCGCTTAGAATGTTAGATTTCAGGGCCTGGCAGCCAGGGGCTTGGGTAGTTACTTGGAGGTTGATGGATAGCTATAAGCGGGTTATAAGTTATAAGTCCCCTAACATGGGTCATAACTATAGTTATCCTACTTATAACCCCAGTTATACTACCCATGAACCTCCAAGTACGGTAATTACAGGGTTTGGATGTAGAGCTGCAGGGCTCTGGCTTTGGGCGGAGGGTTGTAGGGCGATATTGAACCTTCATTACTTTTTGAAAGGCGAACGGGGGCGGGTGCTCGTGCATAGAAGCACCTTTTGTAGCCTAGCAAGCTATCAAAAAAAGGTCTGAAGCGAGGAGATTTGGAAGTGCTTCACTACTAAGTGCAGAGGCACCACAACCAACCTACAGCACAAGACCACGCATTGCAGGATCCCCAGCATCAACAATAAATACAGACATGTAGCCATGGAGGATCCCCTATTCTCAAGAGATACGCACTAAAAGACTCCTCGCCACACTTTTCCCTAGACCTTACGCCCGAAACCCTAAA